TCTAATATCCTACCAAAATCGACAAATACGATAAAGGCTGAAAATTATTCATCTATATTATTTAGTAATGAGCATCTTTTTGAATTATGTTATTGGAAGTACTAAGATGATGTAATTGATCCATTTAGAACTACTGATAATATTTTAATGCCAATTGGAATTTATATAATTGCTGGAATTCCTTAAAAGCCCTTTTCTTTGTTAAGTAATTCTTCAACACTATCAACCTACAAAAGTAATTTAATTTATGTCGAAAACTTGAACATAATTTAGAATAGTGATTTTAATCCTTTATTTAACTAAACAAAAGAATTGCTTATTGTTATTACTAAATGTAATAAATATTTGTTATCTGAAAATTAAACTTGTGCAAATGATGATGAAATTGAAAATTTCTTTATTTAATAAAGTAAGGTCTTAAATTTTTGGATTAATACTAAGTATTTTAATCCAAAAAATTAAATTTTTGATGTAGTAAAAAAATAATATTATTTATCATTTGAAAAAGAAAGAGCATAATAAATATAATTAATTTTGAAACAATAAAAAACTATCGTTGATACAGGAATCTTATTTGGAGACTTTGAAGAATAAAGTTATATATTTGATGCTCAATTTTTAATGAGTACTATCTCTAGTGACTTATTTTACAAATTTATTCATATGGAAACATTTTTAGCATTTACAATAAGATTAGATCCATTCTCTTATGATACTTAAATAGTTTATCCTAAACTTGGTGAACTATTAGCATAAGTAGGATCAATTGTTAGTATAATAATGATGGTATAGTATGTAGCCTATTTTTACAATGAGTATTTATTATAAAGTTCCCTTGTTGAGAATGTTTTAAGAAGTTACATTATCAATTATGATTCACTCAAAGAATCTTCATTAAAATCTAATTAAGTTACATTTACTAAATTATAAAAACTAGCTAAAGAAAAGTTAGTATTTACTAACATTATAAATGAACTATCAAGGATTTAATTATTTTTATTCAAAAATTTTGACAGTACCTAAATCAGTAAGATTTCTTAGCTTTAGTTTCGAATACAAAATGAACTTAAGCCAGAATCCTTAGAAGGAATATTCTATTTAAACTCAAATAATAAGAATATAATAAATGAAGATGAGTTTTAAGAGTTGTTTAATGCATTTAATTTTACTCCATCATAAGAAAAAAAAGTAATGAATCTCGAGAATATCTCATGATAAATGATTGGAATATATTTAAAAAGACTATAAAAATCTAATAATTATATTCATATTATTTTAAAATTCTTTGATGAAACTAAATTATTTTTGATTTTATGAATAAATTAACTAAAAATTAAATAATAAATGAGATTTGATTCAAAAATCTTTTATGTGAAAATTCACCATTCTTTATTAGACACTTGTTATGAATATTTAATTTATTGTGTGCAATTTATTATATTTTTATTATTAACAATTAATTGAATATATATATATTTAAATGCTATGTTTTTGCTGAAAAATTCAAAATTCAGATTAATTTGACAAAATTATGATATGTAGTTATTTTAAAAAATTTTTAAGATATAGTTGAACGTTATTGGATTTAAGATTTAAGAGTTAAACCAAAAATTTTTATTATTGTATATTTAAGCTGAAATAATTTTTTGTAAACTATGTATTTTAATTAATTTTAATATGGTTTGATTAATATTATATTTTTAATTCTTTGAAATATATAATTTAATTTGAGAATTAAATATATTTTAAGAATTAATACTAAAGCATCATGAATTATTTGATAAAAATTACAGTATAATTAAATTGATATTTATTAATAAAATGAATAAATAATTTAACAAAACTTCTCCATCTGAAATATTTCTAACAGCATAAATAAAATAAGCATAAACAGAAGATTCTTTAGATTAAATAAAATAAATAAGTTCAATTAATTTAGAGAAAGAGCTCGATGAATGGAATGATGAATAAGAAACTTACGATTTAATAAATGAAGTTGAATATAAAATGTTAAACTTTAGATCAGAATTACGAAGAGAAAGAGCAGAAATAGAATCAACAAAATCGTAATAGAAATTGTTAGAAATAGTTGCTCAATCTAAAATTAAATAGACGGAAGCATCATTAAAATTTACAGTAGAGGCTTTAGAAAATAAGTTTATTAGATAGTAGGGTACAACTAATGGATATGTGGAATATATTTAATAATCTATAGCTTAATAAAAAAAAGAAGATGCTTCAATTAATCACTATATGAAATTACTTGAAAAAAGAGTAGAAGCTTTAGAATTTGAATTGGGAATTGAAAATGTTAATTAATAATAAGAGTTATGAGAAATATTCCTAAAAAACGTATTATTACTTGATTTGATTGTTGATATATAATATATTGATAAAAATTAAATGTAAATCGAGTTTGATTAATACTTAACATTGTTAACTAATTTGGAAGAAGAAACTGTTAAAAAGATTAGAGAGTTATATCTTTTGGTTGAAAATAATAAATCTGAAACAACAAAGTGGACTGATTCTGAAAATAAACTATTAAAGTGTTTGATACAAACTTATTGTAGTAATTAAAACATAATCCATTTTCATGTACCTGACAATGTTTGGAATATAGTTTCGAAATTGATTAAGAAATCAGTAATGGATTGTAGATAACAGTTAGAAAACTTAAAAAAATTAAGATTTCATTAACAATAATGGACCAAAAATGAGGATGATGTATTAAAGGAAATTTGTAATTAGTATACATCATAAAATAAGTAATTTGATTGGAGTGAAATTGCAAAAGAATTATCTTAAAAATGTAATTAATCTACAATAAAGTTGACAAAAAATGTAAGAAATAGATGGATTAATAAATTAAATCCTCAAATTTAAAAAGGTCCTTGGGATACAAATGAAGAGATTGAATTCATGAGAAATCTATTAAATCATGGAAAAAATTGGTAAAATATTTCATTAGAAATGAAAAACCAAAGAACTGAGAGTTCTGTAAAAAATAGATACTTTAGTATTTTAAAAAAGCTGGAATTTAAAGAAATTTAATTATTAGATAAATAATAAATTGAAAATGAACTTTAAAAACATAATATAAACTAATTCAATAAAGTTGATGAACTTGGATAACAAGAAATCAGCTTTATTTTATTTTATTTAAATGAACTTAACTTGAAGAAAAATAAATAAAATGCTAATTAATAAAATTATCAAAGAGAAAGTGATGTTAAAAAATAAGAAGCTCCTCCTATTGAATTAAATAATCGTTAAAAAAAAAAGATTAAAGCATCTAAAAAATCAAGTAATTCACATGCTTCTAATATATTGGAGAAAGTGTTAAAACAATATTAGTAAGATTAAATAATAGATTATAACAAAATTAAGGAGCATTATTAGGATGTCGTTGCTAAAAAAGGAGAAACTCTTGAATTAGATGATGAATTGCTTAGTGATTCAGAGAATTTATCTGATGTTTAATTTGCAATAATGAATAAAGATTCATAAAATATACATGTATTTCCAAAGAATTAACTCAAAGCGGTTATGGAAATAATAAAGTAAAAAAAAGAGAGTAAAAAAGATTGTAAAAAAGAATAAACACAATCATAACTGAAATAACAAATCCCTATAGATGGAAATTAAATGATCAATTAAAAATAGTAACAAATTTAAAAATAAAAAGAATAAGTACCACAATAAAATTAATAACATTAATAAATATAACATCAATTTAATTAGCCTACTTCAGAACAATAAATAAATTAATAACAAAATTTTTACTAATAATAATAATAATAGTAATTATTGTAATAATAATAATAACAATTGTATTAATAATAGTAATAGCAATTTTATTAACAATAATAACAATAACAATAATAACAATAATAACAATAATAATAATAACAATAATAATAACAATAACAATAACAATAATAATAACCGTTCTATCAAGTTCTATATCCAAATTTTTTATATCCTTAGATGTAAATGCAACCAATAACTTAAATACCAGTTATGGGTGCTCAAGTAATGGGACAAATACCAGGATAAATGATGGGTCCTATGCCTGGATAAATGATGATATAAATGCCTCAATAAATGATGGGATAATTAAATGGATAACTACAAGGATAAATGGCAGGTTAGAATATTTAATTGGTTTCTGCTCTTCCAGGTTAAATGTAATAAATAATGTAACCTTTAAATTAATAAATGGCAGATCAATTTCAAAATATTATGCAACAACATTAAAGTTCTAATAGTCAAAATAATTAATAGTAAAAGGTATAATAGAGTGAATTGAATTAGATGTAAATGCAATAGGTATCTCCTATTGGTATACCACAATAATAATATATTCCATTAATGTATATAATTTTGAAATAGTTAGGTTTCCTCCTTAAGCTCTTTATCCATAATAACAGTTCTAATAGATGGGTTAATAAACAAATTAATAGAATGGTAATTTGAAAGAAATGTTTTAATAGACATCTTAATAATAGATGCCTACAATGAATTATGGAATGCAAATGATGCCTCAATTTGGTGGTGATCAATACTTTCAGTTAATGAATATGAACCAAGGATTTTAATTAAAGTAGCCTAACTACTCTTTTGTGAAACAAGAGTTGGAAGACTAATAATAGAAAAATAATAAATGATATATATTTTAAAAAAATATTGTTCTGAATCTTATAAATTTCATAATTTTTGTTATAATAAACTAGATTAGCATACAATTAATAATAATATATATGATGAATATAATAACTTTAGATGATATTTTTTAATTTACAAAAAATTTAATATTAAATGAGTAATAATAAATTCATAAAAAGATATTCAATAAAATATCATAAAATGTTATTATTTTGAGTATTAATCTTGTTTGAATATGTTATTCAAGAAATTTAAATATTATATAATTTTTTTGTTAACTTAGAATGAAATGTTATGAAAATAAACCAGCTTCCTAATCTTATTAATTTCTTGACAAACTAGGAGAAGGGTATGTATATGATTTTGAAATAATAAGTTCCTTTGGATATATATGGAAAGTGAAGCATATTTCAACTGGTCAAATATATGCTTGTAAATTAGTAAAGAATTCGATGAAGAAGGAGAAAACCTTATTATAAAGAGAAATAAAGATTTTGTATTTATTAAAGGGAAAGAAAGGTATAAGATAGATTTGATAAATATAGGTTTTCCTTAATTAATAACATCTGGGTAGGATCATAAAAATACTTATTTTATAATGAATTTGCTAGGAGATAATTTAGAATAAGTGAGAATAAAGTGTGGAAAATTCGATACTACAACAATATTGAATACAGGCTAATAAATGATTTTATTATTAAAAGAGCTACATAACACTAATATAATCCATAGAGACATTAAACCAGAAAACTTTGTTGTTCTTAAAGATAAGCTATATTTGATAGATTTTGGATTGTCTAAACTATTTATTTAAGAAGGAAAACACTTAGAATTTAGAGAAAATAAAGGAATGATAGGAACCGCTCGTTATGCTTCCATTAATGCATTAAAAGGAAATGAATAATCAAGAAGAGATGATCTTGAATCAGTTGGTTATTTACTTATATATTTATTTATGGGTACTCTACCATGGAATAATATTATGGCTGAAGACAAAACAATAAAATATTACAAAATTTAAAGAATGAAAGAGGCATTTAAACCAGAAGCCTATTTCAATTTACCACCTGAATTAAGTAAATATATTGAATATGTTAAACGTTTAAAATTTGATTAAAAACCTGATTATGAATTCTTAGAGAACATGTTTAAAAGAGGGGAAGATCTTACTAGAAGTCCGAAACTGTAAATTTAATAAACTCAATTATAAATTAAATCAAATTTATTGCATTTAAAAACTATTGATAGAACTTAATGTTTCACTTCTAGAAAATCATCAAATCAGTAAGAAAATACAAGTAGAAGAATAACATTTGAAGATTTGAGTTCAGCTGGTGCTGATATTATTGAAGAACTTGATTAAAACGAAGGCATTCAATTAAAAAATTTATCAGTTGGAATTAAATAACCATAAACAATTAAGAGAACAAATAAAATAAGAACAGGCTCAGATTAAATATTTGAAATCGAAAATAAACTTAAACCCAACTAACTACCAATTTCCTTAAAACAATTAGAATGAATTCTTTTAGTAATACATTATATTTTACTAAAGAAATTTATATATATTATAATGAATTCATATAACAACTATATATATACATATGTGAAATTTCTTTGCAAAATCTTTTCGAATAAACATTACCTTTTGATATTAAACTAAAATAGTTTAGAATGATATTAAAAATGTCTGAAATTCACATATTACATATTACCAAGTTATAAATTAATGTTAATTTTATTACTTTATGTTATCTTCATAAAATAAGAATATATTATTCAATTTTTTAAAGCCAAAATCAAAGTTATTCTTACATAAAAGAGCTAGATATTGAAATATAATCAAAATTAAACAAAAGTAGCTTAAATAATTAGTTATATATCTAAATTATTCTAACAATACTAATCATTCTAAATATAAAATTATGTAATAAATTATTATAATATTTATTATATTATATAGAATTACCAAAAGATACAGTTTCTTAATTGAATAAAATGGAACACCATGAACAGATTGAGAAATAGTTGATTAAATTTTTTTAATGATAGAATAAAAGCTTGGCTGAGAAAGTGAAGGAAAAATACGTTTGAAGGGTTTAAAATAGAAAATAGAAAAATCTTTAGTATTTAATCAAAATAGTGTTTAAGTAAAATATTATATATACTCCTGATTTTTTGAGGAGAATTTTTTTATTTTTAATTTAAATTTGATGGATAATATAATTTAAAAAGGCAATTACATAATAAATTTACAGGACGTAGTAGCTTAAGGAGTGAGAGGAACAATATTGAAATGTAAAGAGAGAAATCGAGACGAATAATTATGTGTGAAAATAATTAGCAAGACCCCTAATTATGTAAATTTGGAGAATGAAAATAAAGTTTTAAAGAAACTGAGATAATAAGAAGAAAAACATCCAAATGTTCTTAGAATATATGATATCACTGAAGATGATAAAAATTATTTTGTTTTCACAGAATTATGTGATATGAATCTATAGAAATTGTTCGAATAATAATAGAAAAGTGAATGGTTTACAATAGAGCAAATATAAGATTATATTGGTCAGATAGTAAGGGGATATTAATATATAAGAAGCTTAAAAATAATTCTAAGAGATTTATCGCCAAAAAGCATCTTAGTTAAGAAACTTTCAAATAATAGAATTTTGTTAAAGGTATAAAAAATATATAAAATAAATAGATAGCAGATTTTGGTATTAGTCGTATTACTGAAGATGGATATGCAGAATCTCGAACAGGAATCCCATTATTTGCTGCTCCAGAAATATATCTTAAATCTGAAAATTAATAAAGATATAATGATTCATGTGATATCTATTCTGTAAGAATTATTCAATATTCTTTAAAAGCTTGGAATTATTCTCTATATAATGTGTTATAAAGGACAAAAACCTTACAAAATAAATAATTTTGATGATCTAAAATAGTTCCATGAAAAATTGAAATTAAATGGTTTTCAATGTCCGAACAATGCTTATTGTCCTTAAGATATTCGTAATTTAATAGAAAAAATGATTATTCATAATTCAGAAGCCAGATTATCATGGGATTAGTTGGATAGAAACTTTACTTAAAAATTTATAATTTTACAAGACATTTATTTTGTAGATCTATCAAAACCTTTTGGTTCAGGAGCATAAGGAATAACTTATGATGCATTTAATTTATAAACTTAAGAATAATTAGTTTGTAAAACTATTTAAAATAAATATTATGGAAGTTCAAGAGAAATCTAAATTTTTGAGTAATCTAAAGGAAAATTTCATGATAATGTAATCAAAGTTTTTTAAATTATTAAATAAACAGAATATACTTACCTAATTATGGAAAAATGTGACATGAATTTACAAACTTATTTTTAATAGAGAGTTTAAAGTCAAAACTGTTTATAAACTAGGGAAATTATTGAAATATTATACTAAATAGTAGAAGGATACTGCTTCCTTAAGAAACTTGGAATAATTCATAGAGATTTAAAACCAGAGAATATTGTATTAAAATTGAACTAAAATAATGAATATATTGTTAAAGTATTATTATTGTTAAACTATCAATAGATCATAGATTTTGGAGTCGGTAAAATTATTGGAAAAGATGTTACAGCTACTGAAGCTGGAACTCCAAAATATTCTGCCCCAGAAGTACTATTATCAGGAAAACCTTATGATTATTAATGTGATATCTTTTCGGTATTTTTTACTATTAATCTCTAGTTAGGTGTAATTTTACATTATTTAGCATTTTAAAGATTTCCTAAAGTTATCAATAGCAGAAGTGATCTTATTGAATATGTCAGAACTTTAGAATATCAACCATTTGTAAGTTCAAATCACGAGGTATTATCCTAATAAAATTAGAATCCTTTAATCCCTGAACTTATTAATAAAATGTTAGCCTTTGATCCTGCAAAAAGAATTACTTGGGATTAATTACAAGTTCATCAAATATTTGACAATGTCAAATCAAAATAACCAAAACAAAATCAAATTCAAATTCAAATACAAAATCAAATTCAAAATCAAAATCCACCTAAACTTTTATAAGAGCAATTTCTCTAAACAAAATAAATTCCATAATAACCGATTCCATAGGGCAATTCTGAGATATATTTATATATAGCTTCTATCCAAACTTTTGCATTTAGAATATTTACTCAATTTGATGAGTTCTAAAAGGAAAATTTAACAATGTATGATGAAATATTTCTGTTGAAATAATTTATTCTAAGATTCAGCATATTATGTTTAATGGCTATTTAATAACTATAAATTAATAATTTTATTATTTTAGACGGAGTGGAATATAAAATAAATTAACTTAATACCTTCTAAAACTGGTCAAAAGAATTTAATTTAAATTAATTAAAAGCTTAAAATAAAGATAAGTTTGATAACTTAAAAACAGCATAAATCACCAATAAAACGGATATTATTGTTTAAGGAGAGTATTTCTTAATGTAACTTTCTAATTAGGTGCAATAAAATTAAAATTTTAATTTTTTGCAAAGTCATAAATATTTTAATATGTTTTATCAACAAATTAGAGTTGGTTTTTTGAATTCAAATTTACCTATTAAGAATAAATTCTTTTTGGAAAAGTTTTCAATTATTTTTTTAGAATATCCAATTAAAAATTATTCAATTTTTTAGGAGTAAAAATTAGATTAAAAGATAAACTAAAAAATATTTATTTAAGAATAAATGGAAATCTTTATTGACAATCAATTAAAAAAGAATTGAAAATTTAAATTAATTTTTTGTAATTTAACAAACAAATTTTTTCAATAATTTATATTATTAATAATCAAAAATAATGATTCAAAGTATAAATTCTTAGTAGGTTTAAATGAGTTAATTAACAAACTCCCTTTTAAAATGTATATTGAAAGAATAATATGGAAGCTTAAAATTTGATATAATAAAGAAGTTTTAAGAAAACATAAATAATTAGGATATCCATTAATATATATTTCAACTTTGGTATTATTTAAATATGTAATATTAGTTATATTTATTATGTAACAGGTAATTAGCATTTAGAAGAGTTTTTGAAAAAGTATGGTTTAATGAATTCTTCAAATTATTATAGATTAGAATGGACTTTAAAAGCATTAAGTGAAGATTCAAAATGTTATTCTATAAAAGAAGGTTTCACAAAGTTTTTGAATGTAATGAAAATAGTAAAATTTAGTTAATAAAACATGAATTTGTAAATAAGGGATTGACAAACACAAATAGTAGGGAAGATTATTTTTAGGATAGTAATAGATAAATATAAATTTAGTGTATTTAATTAAAGAAGCAAGAGCAAATTATCAAGATCGATAAGATTAGTTAATTTTCAATTTGATTGAATAGAGTATAAGACTTAAAGGTATAGAGATTGAAGAAAGAAAAGAATAGATGATAACATTCTTAAAAACCATAAATTAAAATATTAATGTTTTATGGTAATTAACATAGTAAGGAGGTATCACAATACCTTTTAATCATGGATTAATGGATTCTTGTTTAATAGTAAATATTATTGAAGATGAATTTATTTGTTTCAATACAGCTAAAAGAGTTCCTTATAAAATTATAGTAGAAACAATTGAGTAAAAATAATGATGATTATTTTAGTCCATCTGAAGTAGAACTTATTAAGAAAGCTGTTGAAATATATTAAAATAGTAATAATGTTTAAGAATTAATACCATATTATGATATTGAGAAAGAAATGAGAAATATAGCACAACTAAAGATACTTTAGCAATATGATATAGATGAATTAAAAAAGTAATGTATAAGGATATAAGAGATTGGCATTAAAAAAAGTAGAATTTAATTTAAATCCCGAGAATTAAAAAGTAAAGAAGAAAGCCCAAGATAAGGATATTTATTCATCTTCTATTAATTGTAGTTCAATATGGGGAGAAGATTGGAATGTTACTTAGTAGAGAATCTAAAAGACATCTTAATTTAGACATCTCAAAACTTATCAAATTAGACAAATTATTATTAAGGGAGGTGATGATTTAAGAAATGAATTATTAATAATGTAGATGATCAAGAAAATTAAGTAAATTTTTGAGAAATATGGATTGGATATATTTTTGAGACCTTATGATATAATATTGACATCTCCAAATAGTGGAATATTAGAATTTATTCCAAATACTGTCTCTATTGATAAAATTAAAAGAGAACATTCAGATTTAACATTAAAAGAATTCTATTAAACTTATTTTGAATGTTTTGAAGAGGCTTAAACAAACTTTTTGTAAAGTCTTGCTGGATATTCATTGATTTGTTATTTATTTTAATTAAAAGACAGACATAATGGAAATATTTTAATAGATAATTAAGGACATATAATTCATATAGATTTTGGATTTGTTTTAACCTTAACACCAGGTAATTTAGGATTTGAATCTGCTCCATTTAAATTAATATAAGAATATGAGGAACTTTTAGATGGATAAGGTAGTTATTATCATAATTACTTTTAAACTTTAATATTTAAAGGTATATTAAATATAAAATCATATTAGGTCTTATGGCATTGTAATCTGAGATTGATGAAATAATAACATTTGTAAAGATAATGAATTTTAGTCCCAAACATAATCTATTGGCTAGTTTAGAGAAGTTTAAAGTTGAAGAGTTTCGTAAAAGATTTATGGAAAATGATACACCTGAACAATTATACTAAAATGTATAGAATTTAGTCAAAGAATCCAGTAATTCATGGACTACAATGCTTTATGATTATTTTTAGTATAAGACCAATACTATATATTATTGATACTAATTATTAAAATATGAAATAACCTGAGTATAAGTGTACAGAAAAGTTATGGAAGCCTATAGTTAGACCTCCAAAACATAATTATCGTTTAAAAGATATGGGAAATGAAATATTTATGGTTTAAGACACAGTTGTAAAGAGAACAGACTTTGAAATTACCAATAGTCGTGGATTAACACTTCAGTGTAGGTAATTTCGATAAGAATACGTAGTTTATTTGAGCCTGTTAGAATTTAAGATAAGCCTCATGCCTGTATGATTTATTTACATGGGAACTCAAGTAGTAGAGTAGAATCACTTACAATACTTGAATATTTGTTACCTTAAAATATTGCAGTTTGTGGAATTGATTTATCAGGTAATAATACAATAATTTAATTAGGTTCTGGTTAATCATAAGGAGAATATATTTCATTAGGTTACTATGAATCGAGAGATGTTACTGATCTCTATAATTATTTGCGTTTAAATAAAGTAAGGTTAATTCATTATTAAAAGGTTATTAGCCTTTTATCACTTAAATCGGTTTGTGGGGTAGATCTATGGGTTCAGTTACAGCCATAATAGCAGCTAGTTTGAATTCTAACTTTAAAATTCTTGTGTGTGATAGTCCATTTTCTAATCTAACTCATTTATGTTAGGAGTTAGCCTCTAATTAATATAGTATTCCAGGATGCTGTTTCAATTGTTTTTGGTGTTTCGTTAAATCTAAAATAAGAAAGGAAGCTAAATTTAATATTGACGATCTTAACATCGTTTAAATTATACAAAGTATTTAAATAAAATATTTTTAATAGCTTTATCAACTGATGTTGCTATTGTATTCCTTTCAGCTAAAGACGATACACTTATACGAGAGAAGCATCCTAAAATTTTATCGGAAAAGTTTCGAGGAATTAAAGAATTCATTAAATTTGAAGGAACTCACAATTCTAAAAGACCAAATGAAGTAATGAAAGGAACTGTTCAATTCATAATTGCTTAAATGGAAAAATAAGAATAAAATAGTAGTCTCAGGGATACTAAAGTATCATCGAATTTTAAAGATTAAATACCAATCCCTGATGTTGGAGCTCCTCTACTTCGTTCAGAAAAACCATATATATCCAAAACAGAAAAATGATATTAAATTATATTCTATATATAATGATTATTATTAATATTTAAAACTTTTAAATTAATCAAAAATAACATTTACTAATGTGGTTTAATCAAGACTCTATAAGTTATATTGTCTTATATCAAAAAGTAAGACATAAAAATGTAATTAAATAATAATAATCTCTTTTGGAAGGATTTAAATAATTCTTTAAAATTACTTAAATCTTACAAGAATTTAACACTAAATTTCTTTTAAGAATTTAATTTTATAAACTAAATTATTAACAAAGCATAAATATTAAAAGATTTTTATCTATAAGTTGATTACAATTACTATTTAATTTATCTAATTCTCATGTTTAATTGTTAATCAAACTGTTATTTAAAATAATTTCTATTTGATTAATACTAACACTCCTTAATTATTTAATAGACAGTTAATTATACTGTCCAAAAGAAAATTGATTTAATTGGAATTTTTATCATTTTAAAAATAGTTTTAGAATTCGAAAAGTTAATAACGATTATAAAATAATTTTTTATTTTAATAAAATGGGTCTTTAATAAAATATACCTTTTATTTCGATTTATTAAATTTACTCATCACAACAATTTAAAAAATCGCTATCCTTATCCTTTCGTGAATCTAAATGCATCCATTAATGATAAGATAATGTATGAATTTTTTATTGATTTTTAAATACTTATAAAATACAAATAAAATAAAGCCAAAAAAAAATAAGTTGTTAAATAATCATTAATTTTCTTTTTGATAGAATATTATATATCAATAAAATATAATATCATAGTATAGTATAAGATATTTTGATTGAATATATGTGAGAGACAATAATAACTAAAATATATTTATATTTTGATATGTATTAATATAGATAAGAAAAATATAGAATTAATATATATATTTATCTTTATTTACATTCATTCTTGTTTTTATTAAGACCTTGAAATTCTCTCTGCTAGGCTGATATTAAATTTATCACTCTCATCATATGCAACTTTCCAATCTTTGTGTTAATGAAAGAGACTCAAAATAGCAACAACTCTATCAATATTTAATGGTCTTTTGGCACCTTTTATGTAAGATTCGATTGGCAATTTCTTACTACAGATTTATAATGCATTTGCTTTATTTAAACTCATATATTTTTAAACTTATCTATCCACAAATCCACCAACAATATAAATACATTATTCAGGATCAACTGATTCTAAATATGTATCAGCATCTGGAGAAAGGTAAATAAATTCCTTTTTAATTCCTTTTTCTTAATTTTGTTATATCAACTCTTCTAATCCAAGTTCATAATGATAAACAGGCCATTTTTAAAGTCCTTGCTTTTCTAATTCAGTTTTTTATATTCCCTTCACATTTGTCAAATGTAATTGAATAGGAAATTATAATTCTTTATTAATACCTTAAATGTGAGCAATCTATAATGCTAATGATCTAATTTCTCTATCTGTCATTAATATATCATATTCCAAATCTAAATAGATTGGAATTCCTGATTCATACCCAAGTTATAGATTATTTTTAGCTAAATTTTTTATTTCTGTATATTTTTCTTTAGTCTCTGGATTCATATGAAAAACCTTTTGCTTTACTTTTTTTGCAATTTTCTTTCTAGTTATTTTAGCTCTCATTTTTGCTTTTTAGTATTTAAGTACTTTTTTTTCATCTCTTGTTAATTTAGTTTTCTTTTGTATATCCACATCTTATATTTGTTATTCTTACATAAAATAATTAATATGTAATAATATTCATTACCTCTTTTAAAGAAACCCTATAAACCCTTAAAAGAGAATATAAGACATTCTTTAGATACATCATCCTATATCAAAATAACAAAACATACAAGTGAAGAAACTAGCTTTGCAAATTACGTTTTAAAAAAATAGCAAGAATTAGAATTAGCCATGCAATAGGTTATTCAACAACCATAAATAAAAAATTCATTTTCAAGACATCTACCTAAAATATAAGAATAACAGAAAACATCTCCTTATTTGATTAGAGCATTAGTCAAAAATAGATACCCAACGGAACCGATAGAATAGAAGAAAGAAATAGATTAAATGAAATCAATGGACATCCCAAATCATAATAAATTAGCATTTGAAAAATTTTCAATAAATTCTTTAGTGAGATAATAATGTAGAAAGGTTAGAGCCAGCCCAAATCGTAAGCTTTTTACAAGTGTTTAATGATTTATTAGTTTTTGAAATCAGTCATTTCATAACTACTTAAACTTCCAATTAAGGGTTTCTTAAATAAGATAAACTAAACTTTCTTTTTTTTCGAAAGTTATTCAAGTGTTGCTTCTACTCTTAAATTTTCTCATCTAAATCCACTTTAAAAAACTAAATATTCATCTCTTTTTCGATCATTATATCTTATTTACCAATTCAATTTTCAATTATTATAAACTAAAAATTGAGAATATTAAATCTAATTATTCTAAATTCAATTAAACTAAAATCTTTTAAACACAACAAAAAAAAGTTAAAGTAAATTATCTAAATATCCCCTAAACCTTTAATATTTAATCTCTAAATATCTATAGTTATTATTCATCATAAAAATTCAGATCAAAATCGATTTAATTTTTATTAATGTATTTATTTCACTTCTTTTCATCCAAATTCATATAACCTTCTTATTCACTTTGTTCATGATCCATTATCTTTTTAATTTACTGACTGTCTGTGTTTATATAATTTTAATTCTTAGCAAACTATTGGTACTTTAGTATTTTCTCAATTATTAGCGATATAAGATTATTATAGTTTTGTACTTAATAGGAGTTAAAGTGCATAAAGAACCAACTATTCAATTATAATTTTTAAGCTGTTCAATAGTCTAAAATGTTTATTTGATTGGTTTAATGAGATTATTCATTTATAATTATAATAAAAATATTGAAAATATATATAAATATTATATAGCCAGTATCAAACAATACTTCCGACACTTCTTCTTTTATTTCGTAATTCATTAATTTTTTAGATTTCTTTTTTAGCAGTATCCAATTCAACATTAGTTAAAACTAATTGCTCTGAACTTTTATTATAAGTTTTATTTAATTATAAAAATTTGCTTCGCCATAATTGAGATTCATTTTGATACAAAGTAACCTATTTTTGTTAATTAATCAATTGAAGTTCCAATTTATTAATCTATTTATTTAGATTTCGAATTTCAATGTTCAGTTATTCAACTTTAGTTGAATGTTCAAGCTAAATTAATTTGAATTTATTTTTCATATCATCATATTCTTTGATAATAATATTTTTTTATTCTAAAATATTATTGAGACTTCGAATTTGTTAATTTGATTCTTCACTTTCAGATTGAACTTTAGAATTGAATAAATCTAATAAGAATATCTGAAATAAAATATACCTGTACTATTTGTTAATTATTAATCTAATATTCGATGATTTGATTCTAGATAAGATATTTTCATTTGTAAAAATTACACTTAATATTCATAATTTTTGTTCACTGCTTAAGTTTCAAATAATTATTCTTGTAAATCTTTAAGTTGATTAATATATTCATTTTCTTTATCAAAATTTTTAACTCTCATTTCTTCCATTTAATCAAATAACTATTGATTATCTTTTCTTAAATCACTGACTAATTATTCTAAAAAAAACACTTTAAGTAAATCAACTTAAGAACCTCTACTATCCAATCTATTTGGATAGCAATCTGGACTCTGTTATAATAATATTTTTTACCTGATATGGTTTAGAAACAAAGAAAAAAGGTTATGATTTGATGTGCATAAAATATATATAAAATATATAACAATAAAAATTAATCATTTTTCTATTAACATACAGTTATTAATGATTTTGATGTATATAGTGTATTTACTAGTAATAAATATATGATTAATTATGTATGGATAATGTATTTTATAATTATTATTTTTATTCAATCATTATTTAATACCTGCTCTGTCAAAACTTTATTTGACTTATTGAATAAGTGATAAATCGGTATCATATTATTATAATAACTTAGAATTCAAATTAGATCTGACAATCCAAGCATCTTATGTAGCCTTCAAATTATCTTAAGCATCTTCTAAATTTGATCTAGCATCATTGAGTAAATTATTCTTAGCTTTGATTTCAGCTAAAGGATTTATGAATATAATATACCATCCTTAATCTCTATATTTTCTCTTAAATCAGGTAAGACAACAGTTGATAAGATATTTAATTTTTCTTCATATGTAGTTAATAATCCTTTATTTAAAGCTTCTAATGATTATGATGAAACAACTAATTATAATCTACTTTCTAATAAAGAAGTTCTCAATTAATTAAGAAGGTTAGTTACTTTGCTAATTAATTCTTGATTTGCAAAACTATAAAGTAATCTAAAATATAATACTTGGATTATGCAATATCAGTAAGAGCTACAATTAAGGGTTGGAAGAAAACTTTTTATTTACTTAAATGAGTTTTCAATTTATCTTTGACTTAGACCAAGGTATCAGCATTCTTTAAAGATGTCAATAAATTAATAGCTTCATCTATAGCAGCAGCAGAATCATCATATTCCTATAATTATGCAGCAGTATTAGCAGCATCTGTTTTAATTTATTGATCTAATTAATTTCTTAAGAGTGTGACATCTTATTATTCTTTAATTCCATCATTTAATAATTATTGTAAAGTATTTCTAGCCTCTGTTAGATCAGCCAAATCAACTTCATGTTGAGATACTTCTACTTAATATTAGGTAATCTAATTTTCATAAAACTCTTAATCTGCATTGTTCGATAAAAAGTCTTTATTGAAAGAGGCATTTTCATCTTCCTTATTTTACAATATTTCAGATTCAAGATCATTTATAGCATTGATCAAACGAGAATAATCTAATTATTATGATTACTCTTATAATAATGCCATATTTTTTAATGCTCTAAAAAGAGATGGATGTTATTCCTCTAATGATTTTTGTCTTCTAATTAATTTAACATTTACTTTGTTTGATTATCAATTGCTGCAATTGTCAAAAGTACTAAAGCAAAGAGCACTATATATTTCATTTATATAATATATTAATTAAAAACGACTATTTAATTCATTTATAATGTAGTGTAAATTCATCAATACTAAAACATGTTTAGCAATCTCTATTTCTACTCCTAAAATACTATTTCCTAATATATCCAAAACCATTCAATATGTAAATTTACTATAATGTGTTATAAAATTAAGATTTATTGATCAAATTCATACTTATTAAAAAATATCTTATATCCCATCTTTTGCAAGCTACAATTATTTAGAATTCTCCCTTATTTAATAATATCAAATAGCATTCCCCTTCAACTCTCAATATCATTCTCTAAATCAATATTAATAATCAGTGTTCTAAAACACCAAAAGTCTATTAACATGATAAAGTTTCAACTCACTTGTATATAAGTATTATTTTAGAAAAATCATTCAGATCTAAGATTAAATCATTATACCACTTCCTTTATATATTCTATTATTATCTATTCTCTCATAAATTTAATTAACTTGCTAATTTCTTTTAAAATAATATCTAAAGTAATTATTTAATAATTCTTGATTTCTTTTCTCCAAAATATATATTATGGGTATCCATAGAGATAAACTATTAATTTAAATGAAATCACTTACTATTTTTACATCTCTTCTTTTATAATCATCATCCATGTAAATTTATTATAAATTAACAACATATAGGGTTATTTCTACTAACTATTATTCCCAATTCAAATATAAATTTCTCTCATAAATAATTCAACTTCAAATTTTAATAATTCTTTTTTTCTTCATATTCCTCAACATACAATTAATTCTATTTAGTAACTTATTAAAATTAATATTAATTATTTAGAGTATTTTCAAAAAGTACCTTAATTCTTTACGAATTCAATATCCTGTAATTTACTTACAAAGTTGAATTCTTTATAATTAATTTGAAACCAATTTTTTAATTAATTGATTATTGCTATTATATTATATTGCTCTCTTATAAATTTTTTATTCTAATTCATTACAATTCAAATTTGGCCAAACAGCCATTTTGGTAAAAAATTAGATTTTATGTTTAAAAAATGAAAAAACTTTAAACGTTTCTCATATTTTTATATTAAAATGTGTGATAGATTCCTTAATTCAAATAATAAGATTTTTTTCTAGTTTTCTTTTATATTTTTCCAGTTTTTCTTATTTAATTTTTGATATCAATATATTTCTTACTAATATGATCAGTTATAGTTAATAATTTATGATTACGAAATGGTTAGAATATATCCACTAGTTATAGCCTCGTTTTTAGTTCTTTTGTACATTGATAGTTTATAAAAACTACTATTAATGATAATCAAGTTGTATAGACATTTGAATAGATAATATTAATTTATTTTATGATATTTAAATTAGAATGTTTACGAACAAAAAACATAATTTAAACATTATGTATGTAAAGCTTTGATTATATGAATTATTGAGTTAAATTAAGAATTAATGTAAAATTACAAATCAATTTGTTACTTATGAATCAAAAATCCTCTCATAATTTTTCCTCTTTTGTAGCACTTTTTTATTTAGGTTTTATGATATCAACTGAAATAGATTCCATTTATTCCATAATGGAACTAGAATAAGTTCTTGATTGAGTAATTGGTTAGTTTCCTTTAAATACCTACTAAAAAACCCATTTAAAGCTACTCACCTATTCAATATGCTGTAAATGTATAATTAGATTTAAAATACATCCAATGTAATCACGATTCGTTTTAATGACTTAATCTTTTACTCTGTTATACTAAGCTTAATTGCCATTAACATTATTGTTGCTGATGTTGTATGGTCTTTTGAAATAAAAACTGGAAATCCAATTGATCTTATTTACTTTTATTCAGCCTTTAAACAAATTATAAAATGTAATACTAATTTTAAGGCTTCCTAAACTGCTTAATAAATGGTTTATTTTTCATCATCACTTTTATCACTACTTACTATTGATTCTTAATCAATCACAACTGCTAAAATCTTACTCTTCTGTTCTTTATTATAGAAATGAACTCATACTCTTTTTAGATGACACAAATACACATTTTCCATTTAATTATGTAAATGTTGGTCTTTCACTCTCTTTTATATTTGAGTATTATGAATCTGTTGGAATTACTAGACATTCTACAATCTCATTTTCTACAGGACCTGCAGTCAATGATATTTCACAGTTCCCTATCTCATATTTAAGAAGCAGTTATGGAAATTAAGATGATATCTCTCCTGTTTGAGAACAAAGATTATTCCCCATAAATATTAATATAAAACATAAATGCCATATTTCATAACGATTAATTCAAATCGATGACAAACTTATTATTTCATCTTTTAAAAATCATAAATATACATTTTAACTAAAGCATGTAATAAATTTCTCAATTTTTATAAACTGAGAATTACTTCATTTTTTTCAAATTATTATCATTTTTATAAATAAAAATATTAATCATAATATCATATACTATTAATATTATTGATTAAAGTAAATTTAAATTATAATAAAGAATAATTCATAAAATTAAGTTAGTATATGTAACCATTTCAAATTAATGAATAAATCAAATTCATAATTAAAATATGAATTATTCAACCGTTTTTATTTATTACTCTAACAAAATAAAGTCTATTAATATCATTTAATTCATTTTTAATCATTATTTTATTTGCAAAATAATTAAACTAAATTTTTGTCTTTCTTTATATTGAAATATTTTAAATTAAAGTCTCAAGTATTGATTTTTATGTAAATTAATTATATTAAATTAAATAAACTTTTTAATTCATTCTAAATTGTCAAAGTATCGTGCAATTTATTCATTAAAGATATGTAAAGAAAATTTTAAGATCAATTATCAACTTAAAGTTTAATAAAAAATCCAAGAGATTGCTTTCTTCATTGAAATTCCAGCTACTGTAGCAAACTATGAATTTCAAAAGGATCTTTCATTGTAGAATTTAGTCAATAGCATGACTGCTACCACATATAAATTAAATTTAATTAAATTGATTTCTTTAGAAAAATTGATTAATAATATAACTATAATTCTTCTCAATTTTTGAGAAAATTTATCGATAAAGATTAGATGAAACCTTTAACTAAAAATTTTAAAAAACATCAATCGTAAGTTTGGATATGGATGAAAGTTTTGGGCTATTAATAGATTCAAGTTCTTAAATTTATTAGCATTATAATAGCCTTGATAATATAAATTCATAGGTAAAATAAGCCATTGTTTTTTATATTTATTGATTATCTACAACCTGCTAATTATGTTAATTTTTTAAAAGTCTAAACTTTGAATTTAAGTATTTATTATATATTCTTATTCAATATTTAATAGTTTATGTGTCAATTCTTCTTAATAATGTAATGTATTGTTTCATATTTTCATGCATTTGCTTCCATGTTCTTTCATGACATTCTTCTATTTTTTTGTGTTATAAACAGGATCTATAGGATTTGGCTGCTTTTTCTGTTTTAAATTTAAATGTTTTATTTAAAACAGTATATTTTTCATCAATTTATTCAACACCTAAGTAGATCATGAATAATGGTACACTTTGTATATTCATAATGAACATCTAAGAAATTCTCAGAACATGCATCTTGCTTTTTCCTCAATATTTGAACTTCTTAATCATCAACAACACTATAATACGAGGCAAGTTCTTCAAGAAAATTCTTATAATTGGAATTTATTGCTTAGAAATCCATAATTAAAATTAATACAATAAAAATCTAAAATTACATCATTTTTTTTGTTTAAGTCTTTCTTATTTAAATTTTGAAAGTTTTTTTGGTTATTCTTCTTATTAAGTTTCTTCGTTTTCTTGAATAGGTGGCAATTATTATTGAATTAAATTTGTTTATTTTTACTATTAAATTTAGTCATCAATTTAGGATTTAGGCTTAGTTTAATTTAGTTTTTCGTTCAATTCCTTCAATTAAAGTGTGTATTTATTATAATCATCATATTTTTCCTTATTGAAAGCCTCAGCACATAATTTTAATAGAAGCGATTTTTCTTCATTTATTTTTTATTTATTAATAATTTCTTCTTCAACATATTTTTCTTCAATTTCAAATAAGCCATCTGCTAATTATGTTACTTACCCAATTTATTAATTTTATTTTTCTTTTTCTAACTTTTCTTATTTTTCTTTTTCTTTTTCTTATTTTTATTTTAATCTAAGTCTTTCTTCTTCCTTTAATTTTTGGATTATATCTTATTATTATTTATTATTCTAATCTGAATTATTATTGACATCATCACTTTTATTTACATTTTTATCAATATTCTCATCTATTTTGTTTCCTAAATCATGCTACATTTCTTCATATGATTCTTATTCCCTTAGCTTATTAAAGTTTTCTTCCAATCTTATTCTTCTTCTTTAGAGTATTTAATGTGCAGAATTTAATGATACTTCAGCTGCATAGTCTGCTTCTAGTGAAATAAGACATTTATCTTATTTTGGAATTTTAGCATCCAGATACATGACAGAATTAAATTGTACCATTTTTTATGTTGGTAATTTTTAAAGTAATTGTTAGGTTTTGATGGTGTCTTCTAATTATTTTTTTAATTAGAGGAGTATGATTTAATTTTACATAATATATTAATGTATAAAATAGAGTTGAAAAATAAATAAATTTTATATGTGCAAATGAAAGTAATGATGATTTGGATTATATTGATTGTAATTTGAGGATTAAAATGAATAAAATTTTATATCTTATATTTAAAAAAATTTTTTATGGCAGACGTTCAAACATAGAGAGCATTCTAAAAATAAGAAGGAATATTTTAAAATTCAAAGAAACTTTTGGCTAAGAAGACATCTAAAGGTGTTAGATATTGGAAAGAAGTTGGTTTAGGATTTAAAGTACCAAAAGAGGCAATAGAAGGTCATTATATTGATAAGAAATGTCCATTTACAGGAAATGTAAGTGTTAGAGGTGCAATATTAAAGTATGAGAAAGAGATTGAATATTTATAATAGAGGGATTGTGATATCAACAAAGATGACTAGAACAATAATAATAAGAAGAGATTATTTACATTATGTTGCAAAATATAATAGATATGAAAAAAGACATAGAAATGTACCTGTTCATATCTCTCCAGCATTTGGTCCAGTAAAGGAAGGAGACATTGTAGTATGTGGATAATGCAGGTATATAGATATATATGATTTAATTTAAAGACCATTATCAAAGACAGTGAGATTTAATGTATTGAAAGTAATTCCAAATGAAATAATAGGTAATGTTAGAAAGCAATTTGTTTTATTCTGATTTAGATATCTATATAGTACAATATAAAAATAAATTTATGTATTAAAATATATATTATTAATTATGGACGACATGAATAATTATGATGAGTTTGGAAATTACATAGGTCCTGAAATAGATTCAGAAGAGGAAGATAATGTATAAATAGAAGAGGAACAGATGGTAGAAGATGAGAAAGAACATGTGATAGCAAATGTAATAAAATGCTTCTATTTTTGAAGAGAGTGTATATACCTAATCAACAAGTTGCAGTGATTCTAAATGAAGACAAATAATATTATCCAGATGCATAATAAGTGTATGGTCGAGATGTAGAAATAAATGTGCAAGAAGAAGATGCATAGCCAATAACATAGCCTATGATCGCTCCTTTGAAATCAAAAGAGTTTGATATTTAAGAGACATAGACACCATAAACAACATTCGATTATGAATTTTTATGTAGAATATCTAAGAATCCTGCTTTGGTAAGAAATGTTGCAATTGTAGGTGGTCTTCATCATGGTAAGACATCTCTAATGGACGTCTTTGTTAAACAAACTCATCTAAAACAATTTAGTTTATAGAAAGACATTCGTTATACAGATACACGTCAAGATGAATAATAAAGATTAATATCAATTAAAGCAATTCCAATGAGTTTATTGCTACCTAATAGTAAAGACAAATCCTATTTAATTAATCTTTATGATACACCTGGACATGTTAATTTCATGGATGAAGTATGTTGTGCACTTAGAGCTAGTGATGCAATGTTACTTACTATAGATGTTATCGAAGGTGTTATGATGACTACTGAAATGTTAATTAAGACAGCTCTTAAAGAGAAGATTCCTATTGTTGTTTTAATTAACAAATTAGATAGACTTATTATTGAATTAAAATTACCTCCATCTGATGCTTATTTAAAGATTAAAAATATTCTTGATGAAGTTAATATTATTATATCAGATCATGGAGGTAATTAAATTATTTCACCTCTCAATCATAATGTTATCTTTGGCTCAGGTTTATTTTAATTTGTTTTTACTATCTAAAGCTTTGCAAAAAGATATAATAATTTCTTAAATCCTGAATAATTCACTCGTCTATTATGGGGGGATATCTATTATGATAATAAAGAAAAAAAATTTGTTCGTAAAATGTCCCCTTATGCTACTCAAAGAACATTTGTTGAATTTGTTCTTGAACCTATCTATAAACTATTTGGTTAAGTTGTCTCTAAAGATAAAGAATAATTAGAACCCTTCTTATTAAGTTAAGGTGTCTCTCTTAAAAAAAGTGAATTCAAAATGGACACCAGACCATTATTAAAATTAGTTTGTTCTATTTATTTTGGTAATACTTCTTCCTTAGTTGATGTTCTTGTTGAACAAGTCCCTAATTCATAAGATGGAAGTAAAAGAAAAATGCAACTATTTTATTAAGGTGATAAAAATAAATAATCATTTATTTAAGCCTCATAAGGTTCACATAAAGGACCTTTATGTATTAATGTTGTGAAATTGTATAGTAGACCAGATTGTATGAGTTTTGATGCACTTGGAAGAGTATTAAGTGGAACTATTAAAAAAGGATAAAATGTTAAATTATTAGGAGAAAAATATAATATCGAAGATGAAGAAGATATGGCAATCAGAAATATTAAGAATATCTGGATCTATTAAGGAAGATATAGAGTTGAAGTCAATAAAGTTCCTGCAGGAAATTGGGTATTAATTGAAGGAATTGATTAATTTATTACTAAAACTGCTACTATTGTTGATGACACTCAATCCATGGAAATTCTAAGACCTATTCAACATAATATCTTAGCAACTATGAAAATTGCTATTGAACCTTTAGTCCCAAGTGAATTACCCAAAATGTTAGAAGGTTTACGTAAAGTCACCAAAAGTTACCCAATTCTTACTACTAAAGTTGAAGAATCTGGTGAACATATTCTATTAGGAACTGGAGAATTGTATTTGGATTGTGTTATGCATGATTTAAGAAAAATGTATTCAGAAATAGAAATTAAAGTATCTGATCCCTCTGTCCGTTTCTGTGAAACTGTCATTGAAACATCATCTAAAACATGTTATGCAGATACTCCAAATAAAAAAAATAGGGTATATTTTATAATAGAAATATAAAATAGATTAAAGCATTGGCTAGTCCATTAGATAAGGGATTAACTCCATAAGATCGTGGATTGGCAGAGAGAATTGAGAATGAAGAGATTGATTTATCATGGCCAAAGAATAAATTAAGTGATTATTTTAAATCTAACTTTAATTGGGATATAATTTAAAGTAGATCAGTATGGGCATTTGGTCCTGAAAAGACAGGTCCAAATGTATTTTTAGATGACACATTGCCATCAGAGACAAATAAATAATTATTAAATGAAGTCAAAGATTATATGATTTAAGGTTTTTAATGGGCAACAAGAGAAGGTCCTTTGTGTGATGAACCAATAAGAAATGTAAAATTCAAGATAATAGAAGCAAATATAGCAAATGTAATGATAAGATAAATAATTTAGGAACCAATATATAGAGGAGGTGGATAAATAATTCCAACAACAAGAAGAGTGTGTTATTCATCATTTTTAATGGCAACTCCAAAAATAATGGAACCTATGTTGTTAACAGAAATAATGTGTTTTTAAGATTGTATTCCTGCTATACATAATGTTCTATTAAGAAGAAGAGGACATATCTTATCAGAATAAGCAAAACCAGGTACACCCTTTTCAGTTGTGAGAGCACATATTCCAACAATAGATCATTTTGGTTTTGAAACAGATCTTAGGGTACATACATCTGGATAAGCATTTTGTTTAAGTGTTTTTGATCATTGGTCATTATTACCAGGAGATCCTTTAGATAAAACAATAGTTCTTAAACCTTTAGAACCAGCCCCTTCTAATCATTTAGCAAGAGAATTCATGATTAAAACACGTAGAAGAAAGGGTTTAAATGAAGATGTATCTATATTGAAATTCTTTGATGATCAATTCTTGATTGATTCACTCAAACAGGATAAAGACTATTAATAGTATATTTGATGAGTAATTTATTTACATCCCAATGAGATAATAAATCATTATTTTGCAATCCCATAATTTCTCTCTAAATAATCTATTGTAGGTGTTGTTAAAGTTGCTTAACAAAAATATCCAATTATTCTTGCTTACCAACCAGCATATAATCCTGATATTCCATATTTAGTAAATATCTACTTACAAATCTCAATTACTGAAATCTTCTTATTATAAATCTCACCTTATTTTCCTTCCATCTAAACTAATGTTTTTATAGTGTCAAATGGATGAACTTAAACATATTTATAATATCTACCTGCTGCTATATTCAATACACTCGTCAAAGATGAAGCTATCAATATATCACAAAAACTTAAACTTTCACTAACATCTTTCTTCAATGCATAACGTATCTTATGATCCCAATATAAATAATTTGTCCAAGATACTATCTATCTTGTTGTTAGAATTCCAAAACCAACATATATTTGATCAAAAGTAATGTATTTTAAATAACCAAATCCTACTGTCAGATTTGTCATTTTCAATATTTTCAATCGCTCAAATGGTGTTATTATACAACTTTCAAATATTGCTATCGAGATTCCTGTTAATATCTTATTCAAAGATTAATCATTAATAATTTTTTTCAAAAATGAAGGAATGAAGATCATCATAGGCCATCTATAATATTATTTCAACATTGATCTTAAAAAATTAGGATAAAATCCATCATATAAACCTATGTAACCACGTGCACCCTTTATCTCTTTAAAACTCTCTAATAATAATTTAATCTCATACTTATAAATAAGTAATCTCTTATCGAGATTATTTATATGTTTTTATTCTATCTAACACATGTTCCAATGGCAATGTCACTGCTACTCTAAATGCACCAATTAATTATGTTTCAATTACTGCTTTTAAATAATCAGTCATTTAATTTGGACTATAATTATAATTGATAAATTAATATTGAATATCATAATATCTCCTTAAGATTTTTTCAAATTTATCCTAAAAACAGATCTGTTTGTTATATTATACGCTAATTCCAATTATTTGAACAGAAACATATCATAACAAAAAATGACTGATTATGACTCTCAATTTTGTATAAATAATTATAATTTACTTAAATGTTTATAAAAATACTTATAGTTGATAAACTGTATTATATTTTTAGATAATATTAGACATTAATACTTCATTATTCTTATTATGGTTTATAAACTTATCTAGTGTTAATATTAATTCTATGTTCAGATAAGTAATTAAAAACATGAAAGTCACTATTAAAATTACCATTAAGCTATGTCTATTCAAATGGATTTCTAAATATGTAATATACATTATTATACTCTTTAGGTTAGAAAGAGTTTGCTATAACTCTAGGAACTCCATGATAGCATCTTCTAGCATGACCACTCATAACTAATAAATCTCCAGAATCAAGCTTAATGGCAATAGGTTTTTCATCTTTTGTTGGTCCTCCTATTACAAAAACACTTGATAATCCAAAACTAAAAGAATATATTGGAGAATCTTAATCAAGTTCAGCATCATCTAAGTGACCTGTCATATAATCATGAGATTAGTAAAAATTAATTATTACTGATTCACTTTAGTAGTGATTTTATAATTATAAGAAATTATTGGCTCTTTAGGATATTTCTTAAATAGGATCAGGCACTTAGGTTTTTTCTTATGGATAATGTCTTAATAAATTTTATTTAATACCTATTATTCCAGTCATATTGATAACCTACATTAGCCCATCTTATTTTATTATTAAAATGATATCTATTATCATCATGAACAATAAATTTATCGAAGTTCTCTTCTTCCTTATATATGAAGAGATTTGTTCTATAAGGTTAATTAATATATTCATTCATGCATAATTTACAAATGCGAATTTAATCATTTAAGTTAAGAAAATTCTTCACTTAGATGACACCTTGAGGATAATCAAAACGATAAACAGATCCATTTTTATGAATTCCTTATTCTTACATTTATTGTTCTGTGAGATTGGTTACATCAATTAATTCACTAAAATCGGTTTGAATTCCAGCATAGAATTTGTATTTTTTTTCTGTTTCTTTGAAAGGATTTAAATTTTAGTATTGGATTGGTTTTTATTTATTTTTTTTAATCTTCTAATACATAAATTTATTTAATGAAAGAATTGACATAATATTTATAAAAATTATTTGATCATTATAATATAATAAAACATACAATTATATAAATTCATTAAAAATTTTATAAATTACATCAGATGGTGTAATTTATAAAGATGTGATATGATTTTCTTTATATATTTTAAATAAAATAATCTGGTTGATTATAGATTTTATTATTAGCGATAGTAATAGATAAAAATTAATCAAATAAGATATAAATTTGATAAGGATCTATTTATAGTATTTTAATAGGTTCATGAATAAAAGAGAAATGGAAGATTTAATAATTAGGTTATAATTTTCCATAAATATTATTGAAAAGGTATGATAATGACACATTTTCTTAAATTTATTCTGATGTTTAAGATCTATATCCTTTAGTTAATATATTATCATTATATTATAGTATAGTATAGTATAGTATAGTATAGTATAGTATAGTATAGTATAGTATAGTATAGTATAGTATAGTATAGTATAGTATAGTATAGTATAGTATAGTATAGTATAGTATAGTATAGTATAGTATAGTATAGTATAGTATAGTATAGTATAGTATAGTATAGTATAGTATAGTATAGTATAGTATAGTATAGTATAGTATAGTATAGTATAGTATAGTATAGTATAGTATAGTATAGTATAGTATAGTATAGTATAGTATAGTATAGTATAGTATAGTATAGTATAGTATAGTATAGTATAGTATAGTATAGTATAGTATAGTATAGTATAGTATAGTATAGTATAGTATAGTATAGTATAGTATAGTATAGTATAGTATAGTATAGTATAGTATAGTATAGTATAGTATAGTATAGTATAGTATAGTATAGTATAGTATAGTATAGTATAGTATAGTATAGTATAGTATAGTATAGTATAGTATAGTATAGTATAGTATAGTATAGTATAGTATAGTATAGTATAGTATAGTATAGTATAGTATAGTATAGTATAGTATAGTATAGTATAGTATAGTATAGTATAGTATAGTATAGTATAGTATAGTATAGTATAGTATAGTATAGTATAGTATAGTATAGTATAGTATAGTATAGTATAGTATAGTATAGTATAGTATAGTATAGTATGGTTTTAAGTATGAATTCTCAGATTATTTATCAAAAGAATCAATCTTAGAGTTTAGCTGAACTCTTTAAAAATAGACTCAATTTGAAAACTATACAAAACAAATATTCAAAAAAAAGTAGCTTACTTATGCGAACTAAATTAAAAAGATATCAATGATGAAATGGATTTCTTATACTATAATTTATCATGATAACCATTAACAAATCTACCTTTAAGAAATAAATTGCTTTATTTTTATTATTGAAGTACATATTTTTTACATTGAAATTTTAACTCAACTTTACCTTTAAAATTAAATTCAGTATATTATAATAATCATATTCATTTAATATTTAATTATAAGTTATAAGAATTTATTAAAAATATACTTACTTTTATTGAAAATATAATATAATTGATTAATATAATATATCAATGTATTAAATCATTTGACATATATTAAATCAAGTATTCATTCTTAATCATTTCCTAAAATCAAAGATATCAACTCTTTTTCATGAGATTTAAATAGATTAATCTTGTTGCCCTTATTTTCTAGTTCCTAATTCTTTTTGAATTCTTTAACTGCTTGACTTAATGAAATTTATTTGGACCTTTTAAGGTTTTACTTCATCTTATAACAATAATTTTACATTTTTCAAAAGCATTTTAACATTTGGACATTCAAAACTCAATTATTCAATAAAATTCTTTTAATTGTTTTATTCTGTTTATTTTTTATAAAATTTAGTTTATCTGCCTAAATATATTTTCCCTAATATTTTTTATTTCCTTTCTTTTTTAACTTAATTAGTATCAAAAGGTGGAGGAGATAAATTAGAATTAGCTAAAATAGGAGGCAGTTCCTATCTTTATCTACAATGATGACTTTACAAAATTTTTGAATGTTATGTAATTTACTCTTTTTTTTCTTCAAGTACTAAAGTTGGATTAGACAAAACTAATTGTTCTTAACAACTCTTATTCAAAATTAATTTAGAGAGATTCTTTTTCTATTGTTAGGATTCAATGGATTCAGATTTATGTAATAAAGATTTCGAAATTTTATTGGATGGCAATTCACACAAAGGTTTTTCTTAAGTGAATTTTAGAAGACGAGAACTTACTTATCTTAATCCAAACACTGAAATAAAAGTTGCATCAAATACTTTCCAACTTTTTTGGATTCTGTATGAATAGATATCCTAATTTTATTTTTGTGTCTGTTCTTGCAGATATATATTCTGTAGGCTCTAAAATACTCACTTGCTATATCATTCTTCTTGTAGTTTAAGATTCCATTTAATTTAATAATAAAATAAAAAATTAATAAATATTATAAGGATTTATACAAATCAAATTTAGTCTAACAAAGAACTACAAAAATTGAACTTTATTAAACTTTATTAATTAGATTAATATGTAAGATAGATCTAGAATTATTGAAATGAAATAACTGCTTAAGTTACTTTAATAAATTAATTAACTCTAAATCTAGAATGAAGAGTCAGAAAAACAAAATAACAAAGATTCTTATCATAATGATCAACAAATTATTAATGATATCCAAATTATATTGAATCTAGAAGATGATAATAATCAACAAACAGAAAAAGATGATAAATTATCAGAAAAGGAAACTATTTCTAATAAACAATTTTATTAAACTTCTAAATAAAATTTAATTGAACTACGAAAAACTGATCGTTAAGTTATTTTCAACACAAATAATCATTCTTATGGATGCTAAATATGCTAAATTGATTACAAACTATTGAAAAATCTCCTTAATCATTAATACAGATTTCATTACAAAACCAAAAAAACCAAGAATCTTATTTATAAATCAATTTCATGATTTTATTTGAATATTTTACAGATATTTATATAAATATATTTATTAAAATTTTTTCGTGGAAAATATTATATTTATTAATTTAAATAATCTATTTCAACTAGGATAGAACTTAAATCTCTTAAGATATTCATTTTCAAGTTGAAAAATCTATTTCCTTAAATGAAACATTTAGAAATTTCTAATTTCTTTTAAAAAGATTTGTTATAATTGATATTATTTATAAATTCATAATTGTATTATTTTGTTATCTTCATTAAATTAAGATTTTTAAAGGATAGATAAAAAAATTAGATATTTCTTTGAGAATTCATTTATGAAACAACATGGAGAAACAATTTATTAAGCATATTTTATAAATATTTGAGTCAAAATATGTATGAACTATAATTTAAACTAATGCTTTTGTTATTAATAAAATAGTTTTTGTAGTTTGCTCAATAAAGAAGCTTAAATATATATATATATAATTATATTTAACATTTTGAAAAAATATTTACTCATAAAAGATTTATTATTGTCATTTTTTTTCAAACCTTAGATATTTATCAATTTTCTATTACTTACAAGGTTGAAGGGATAATTTTGTCATATAGCTTCCTTTATTTTTTAATATACCTTTCTTTGACAATGATTTTGTACTCACATTAGGACTTTCTTCTATCGTTTTAGGGATTATAACTATTTAATTCCCAAACTTTAATAAATTTCTCACAATTTAAGCACCTTCTTCAGCATTTCTTGGCTCAATCATTATTAATTGTATATTAGATATTTAGACGCCTTCTTCAAGAGATTCTTTATTTTATTTTAATTGTGAATTATTAGCCTGAATTGAAGTGTTTATGCTTTGGATTTCATTCTCTAAAGTCGTAATTTGTTATTATTCTGCTTCTTCGAAAGTATCTTATTTTGATATACAGTTATTACCCATCTTTTAATAAATTTAATCTTTTTCCATTCAATTTTCATAACCTATTAAGTCAAATAATTTTTGAGTTTATACTTTTTTAAAAATTAAGCTCAGGCAATTATCAAAAAAATATACTAATTTTATGATGATGAAATAAAAACTCAATATGTTGACAATTAGATTTGCAAAATGAATTATATTAAAAAAAAATATAAATTATAATAAAGGGGGTTAGTATAAAATAGATTCTAATAATATTACTATTTAATTTTAATTATTATCAAAGACTTTTCGTATTATGAAGCATTATTCATTTTTGAAATATAATTTAAATAAATTTATTTTATACATCTACCCTCATTCAAATTAAGTACTTTCAGGAAATTTGCTAAAATTCATTTGAAATAGTAAGCAATATCTATTTTTTATTTTGAAAATAGGATAATTATTAATTTACAATCCTTTTTAGTCATTAAGAAATTTAGGGGAGTAAATAAATTTCCAATGAAAAAAAAAAATTATTTAAACTAATAAATTTCGTTAATAGAAAGTATTAAATTCTAGAAGGATAATTAAATTAAAAAAAATGAGTGAATTTTCAATTTAAAGGATTGAAGGTAGAAAGAGTTCTATTGATATTGATGATAGAAATGGGTTGATTTCAGATCTATAAGTGTTAAAAGAAGAAGAAAAGTCAAGTTAACCATAACTTAAATATATGATGTAATCCTTTTTTTAATTATAGGAGTTAGAACTCATCGATTAATAATGAGGAAGTAATTGATTAGGAATTTGATATGAATTCAATTTAATAGAAAATGAATATTTAGATTAAAAGTGAGTTGTAAATTTAAAGTAATAAACAACCAAACCTTAGTACATGTTATTTTAATTCAAATGAATAAAAAAGATAATTGAGATCAAGAAGAAAACTTAATTTGAAATAATCTTTAATTAATTTTCAATCTGAAAATAATTCTTTTTCTTTAAATATAAGTAATCCTTTTTGCAAATGTACTAAATCAAACTGTTTAAAATTGTATTGCTAATGTTTTCATTAAAATTCAAAATGTTCTGATTTTTGTAAATGTATGGAATGTAAAAATAGAATAGAATATTTAGGAATTAGATTTAATGCAATAGAAAAGATTAAATAAAAATTATATAGATAGAAAAATGATGATGATTTATTTGATAGATCAAAAATTTGGGGATGTAAATGTTAAAAATCTTAATGTTAAAAGAATTATTGTGAATGTTTTGTTAGAAATTAGAAATGCTCATCAAATTGTAGATGTAAAGATTGTGAAAATAAGAAACGATTTCCATAAAAATAAAAAAAGAAATAAAAAAGATGATTAAATCTAATGATTGAGCTTTATCTACAATGTAATGGTACAAAAGTTCATATTTTTGAGTTTATTTTGGAAATAAAATTTATATTAAATGATTATAAAAAGTTTCTTTGATAATTAGAAGTGAAAAATAAGAATAATTTATTTTTTTATTAAAGATAATATAAAGCTGTTAAATAATAATTTAAATATTAATATGAAACCTTATCAAACTCCGAATTCTGGTCATTCTCGTTAAGGGAGTTTAAGAGTGTAACGACAACCTTTAGCTGTAATTAACAATTGTCCAGAATTTTCTTAGTGTGCAAATTACTTATAATAGAAAGTATAGGGTTTGGAAATGAGAGTTAAAAACCTTAATAGTTAACATGCAGACAGAACAGAAAATAGATCTACAACTGCATAAAAAAATGAAGCATCATTATCACCTTTTATAAGATAGAAAAAACCATGTAGTTCAAATTAAAAAGTTGATTCTCAAAGTTATTATGAAACAATAATTAATAAACGATTAGAAAACATTAGTAAAATAGATTAGTCTCCAGTGCATATAAAAACTGATAATACTGTTGCTTAATAAGATAAATATTCGATTCATAGTTAATTATCTAATTTAGGTCCACATTCTGGAAAATTGCATTTTAACAGTATTCAAAGAATTTAGCTATTAACTAAAAAACTAAGAAAGTTTAAAATGATAAAAGATCAAAATTAAGATGAATGCGCTCCTTCTTTAGCAAAAATTAAATGTTTTTGCTAAGAATATTATAATGATTGTTTTGATTTCTATAGATGCACTGATCTTATTGCTTTAAAATATTTTATCTATTTACTTGTTTAAGAGATAAATAATCTTTATAGTTAAGATGCTTTTAAAATGGCAGATAATTCTATGTAATATCAATAATAAATTGAAATGCTTAAAGAATAATTAGACAATTAGAAAAGTGATTAAATGACCTTTCAAAATTAATTAAAATTATAAAAAATGGTTGTGGATACTTAAAAATTAATTTAAGATATTATTAATGTTTTATAAACAAAGCATAATTAAAGTACATTGATCAATTAAGTTGAAGTATTAAATAATTAAATGAAAAATATTAAAGAGAATATGTCAACAAATTCAGTTTAAAATTAAAATGCTACAACATTTGGATAATAATTGGCAAAATGTGGAATTGATATAAATTATCATTAAAGAGCAACAAATGATACTTCAGTAGTGAATTAATCAAATTTTAAAACTTAAACAGTAGATGAAAGGAATTAAACTTAATTTAGTTCAAAATCAAAGTCTCCTTGTAGTAGAAATAATCAAAAGAACATAAATTTTGATTTAGAATAATAAGTAGATTTGAATAAAAAGTTATTTGATGAATAAGTTGTTACGAATAGATAATTGATGGAAAAGGTTTTTAAGTTACAAAATGAAAAATAATAGATCGATTAGATATTGAAACAAACATAAGAAGAATTGAAATAAAGAAATTAAGTAATATTAGAATTGGAAAATAATTTATAGAAAGAGAACTTAATTCTTAATGAATTAAATTAAAATTTAGAAGAAGCAGTTTAATTAAATTAAGAATTATAAAAAGAAAATGTTAATAGCAAAGAATCTATTGAATAATACAAAAAAATAGAATAAAAATATTATGAATTGTTATAAGAAAATAATAACTAATTCTAATAATTAAATTAAGTTTAAAAAGAAAATGGATCTTTATAGAAAGTTTAATAATAAGTAGAAGTATTTGAATAGATTTATAATAGGCTGAATGTAAAGGTTATTAGTAATAAATTTAAAAATTATAAGAGAGATGTTTAGCACAATAAAGTCAATTATAAGATCAAAATGATGGAAAGTATCTATAATAGTAAATAAATGAGTTATTATTATAATAATAGGAACAGAGCAAAATAATTGTAATAAATGAATTTAAAAACTAGAGTTTGATTACTGATGAAGCATTGTATTTAGGATAGATGACAATTTATGCTAGTGATATCTTATCTAGATAACAAACAGATGGAATTCCAACAACACTTGTTATGTTATAAAAAGACTTAAATGGAAAGAGAAGCACAATTTAATAGAAGATGAATATTTTATAATAATTTGGAAATAATTTAAGAAATCAGCATTTGATTACTCATAGTGGTTCTAGTTAACTTAATGATAATGTAGATTTACTAGAAAATCTACAAAGTTAAAATTCTTCGATTAGATAGAAGAATGTGAGTTCTTACGAAGAGACTGCTAGTACAATTAATAATAATATTTAATCGAATGATTTAATGGTAATGTTACTTGTTTAATGTAACACTTTAGAGAAAATGATGGAACTTTGATTTTTTCTTGATAATTCAATATTTAATATTTTTTTATAATGATATCGATTATATGGATTTTAATTGTGCAATATGTTCGTACTTAGGATTGCAAATGCAATTCAAATTTTACTGAGTCAGATGTATGTTTGATAAATTAAGAATGCAAATTGAATATGTCTCATTTTAATAAGACTCTTCCATTTAGTACTCTTTAAATTGAAAATTGTAATGTGACGATATGTCTGTAAAAATTTATTAATGTGATAAATTTAACTTAATTGACAATATACAATTCAATTATAATATAAGATTAAGATTGCTAAGCCATTTTAGATTAATATTTAGTATTTAATATATATGATGTAAATATAATGGAATCAAAAATATTATTTTTGGGATTTGTTGATTTTCAATTTATAGGTTTGAATAGTATGATTTTAAATGATACATCAATAACATTAAATACTTTAAGTATTTGTACAAATACTTTAATAATGATAAATTCTTCACTTAGAGCTTTAAAGTAGAATAAATCACAATGTTCATGTTTAAGTAATTAAAATTGTTCTGATATTTCTGATAAAACGTAAATATTTAGTTTTGTCGGTGATATAACATAAAACTATTAAAATTTAACACAATAATATATAGAAACATAATGGTAGGAATAATTTGATTGTAGTTTATTTAACATAAAAAAATTAAGGTATTTTAGTGTATTAATATCAGTACATAATTAATTTAATTTGACATAATAATCTAAAATAAAAGGATTTTTTGTAGGAATATATTCATATAATTTATCAATCGATAATTCTAGTATAATATCTAGTACAGGAATGGGTTATTTCACAAATGAAGGATATGGTTGTGGATATACAGATAAAATAATAGGTTTAAGATAATAATGTGGAGGTACTGGAGGAAGTCATGGTGGAATGGGTGGATTTTCAATAAGTCCAAAGACAAATTATAATTAATTGTGTTCATAATTATAAAGTAAATAAATATATGATTATTCATTTAATCCTACATTACCTGGTAGTGGTGGAGGTGGAGTAACATATGGAGGAATATTTGATAATATAGAAACACAAGGATAAGGGGGAGGAGTTATACATTTAGAAATTTTAAATCTATAAAATGATGGAATAATTAGTTCAGATGGTACATCATATATTGAAGAACCATTTTATGGAAGTGGGAGTGGAGGTTCTATTTAAATAAGAATTATCTATTTTAATGGATCTGGATTAGTTTCTGCAAATGGAGGTGGCTCTGATTATTAAGATAATTAGGATTAGTATTAATTTGCTAAATAAAAGTTTTATTAAACATATTAAGTATATGGTGGATTTGGAGGCGGAGGAAGAATTAGATTATTCTTTTTTAATATTACTGAAATGATTAATAGTTCTTATTATAGCGATATTAATAATACTATATAAACTAATTCAGGAGGTATGTCAATCTAATAAAATATATTCCTTAATAAATCTAATTAAACTCTTACTAAATATTAAGGTTCTATTACACCTACTGGATGTCCTTAAGGAACATATGGCAATTATTGTAAAAATTGCCCTTTAGGATAATTTAAAATGCTTTATGGATAAGCTGCTTGTTAACCATGTTTCTATTCTATTGATTCTGAAACTACTGAGTATTAATAATCAGGAGAAAAAACACCTTTTTGTTAAATTTAATGTAAAAATGGTAAATCTCCTAAAGATAATTAATGTTTAACTGGATTAGCTGAATTCTCATTAAAATTAGGAGGACAGAATGTCATTTTTGCCATTTTTGTTATTATACTTTTATTATTAGTTAATATTGCTATTGTTTGGGTTAGTAGAGATAAAAATAAAAAAAAATCTAGATAATTTTATGGATCTTATGATGATTCAACTCTATAATAAATGACACACTCTCTATCTGAATTAAATAATAAAACTTATTTAATTAGTTAAGATCTTCATTTTCATGTACGTAGAATATATCTTGCTGGAAATAATACTTATTAAAATCCTTGGTCAATTTATTAAGAAACTTTCTTAGATACAGATCTTAATCAAGGAGAAAATTAAAATTTATAGAATCTCTTTTAAACTTTTAATGAAAAAGCTAAATTTACTACTTTTGAAACATATACTTTAATATTTTTCAAATTTTATTATTACCCTCTTTATATTTGGATTCTATAATTAATATAAGCAAATAAATTTAATATACTTTCCAAATTATTTGTTTAATAAGAATATCTATTTAATGAATTAGATCCTGAAAAAGATAAAATTAAACTTAAATTATCATGTTCTAAAGATAAAACTCTAGCCTTTATTGATCGTCTTAATTTAGCTTTAAAAATTGTTGAATAAAGTAATACTCTAGAATTGCCAATATATTTAGTTTTAAGTGGATATGGAACCTTTCCTTATCCATTCTAAATTAATATTCATGATGCTCTCCTTAAGAGATTATGGTAATAATTTAGTTACAATACTAATGAAGAAACCATTAATCTTTTTGAAAAATTTGTCACTGAATTTAATTATTATGCTGTCAAAATAGATTTTAGATAATCTTAATCATCATTCATTAAAAGATTTTTAGATCTACTTAATTATACAAATTAATATAATTATGAAATATTTAGAAGATAAAATGCCATCTAAGTTGATATCTGTATTCATATCATTGCTATATAACCATCTGCATAAAGTTAGGTATATCTACTTGGAAATGCAAATTAAAGAGAACTTGAATTTCTATTAAAATAAATTCATGTTATGAAAAACTTACCTTAAGAATTCAATATCAAATTATCTATCATATTTAATCATTATAATAAAGAAAGAGTCTTCAATTTAGAAACATTCAATAATCTAGTCTATAATATTAATGAATAATTATCAATTATTGTTAATTAAGATAAAGATGATCTAAGAAATTAAATTTAACAAGAGAAAAAAAAAATGTAATCCAAAATTAATCGTTTTAAAATAGATGGAATGAAATAATATAAACTTTAAGGATACCAAATTTTTACTAGATTTTTTACTTGGCTTTTTAGCTAAATTACTAGATATAGAGACAGTAAAGTTAATTAATAATTCCTTATTGCAGGAATATGTATTGTCCTAGCTATTTAATGGGTACTATTTCATAACTATTAGAAAGTGTTTTGTCATAGCTTATCCTGTACTTTTATTTATTGTTTATGATTCTAAATCAGATAAAATATTTTTGGCTGAAGTTATCACTTAACTTGTCATATTCCCTACAGCTTAAATCGTAAGTTTAATTATTCTTTCTGCTTGGGTAATACTATTTAAATAATTAGCTCCTAAAATCAAGAAGAAATTATGGTAAAATGTATCTTTTATTTAATTTATGTGCTTTGGCAAGTTCCTTAATTGAGTTTATTTTTGGATGCTATGATTTATTCAACTTCAATTCACTTGTTGAATTTAATCTATTTAAATTGTTTCCTTTCTTTTTCATTATGCTTTCATCACATTTAGTTTGTTTATAGATGAACTTTAATGAACTCAACAAGACTAAATATTTTGAAATATGATATTTTTATTTTTAAATCAAACATTTTATCTAATTTATAAATTGTTTCTATTAATTTATTTTAACCTACTTATATATATATTTCTGTATTCTTTTACTTAGTTTTTTTTATATTAAAAATAATTATATTTATAAATATACTTTAAATTCAAAGATAAATAAATAAAAGAATATATTTTAAATATCCATCATTTAATATCATGAAAAATATAAAACCTATTGTAATATCAATATTCAAATTTATTACTACTATATTATGACATTAAAAAGAATAAATTTATATTTTATTCGATATATTGAGAAAAACTAACAGTTTTAATATAATTTGTAGAAAAAAAAATTAAATTTAGCAATTAAAATCATCTCTTAATCAACTAATTTAATTCAAACAAACAATAGAGATATAATTCCATATTATTCTCATTATAGCAAAAATAAATGTATATAAAATCTTATCAAAAATAATTGTAATATAGTAATAAAATATTCAAATTATCAAAATTTGTTGTTTTATACGGATATTAATAATTTAAATATTTCTTAAAAGAGATTACAAAAGTAATCTATCATGTGATTGAATTTTAATTAAATTATAAAAGTTATTTTTCCATATTATGAATAAAATTTCATAAAATAAATGGTATCTGATAGATTTTCTATATAGTTATATGATTTTCTTATGTCATTTTATTAATAATTCCTTAATTTTTTTTTTTATGAATTGTATATAAAAATATAAAAATTTAATGAAATCGTTTAAAGTTTCTAGTGGAACTATGGATTTTATGAGAAATTAACCAAAAGATGTGAAATCTTCTTAAATGATAGTTGATAAAGTGAATGAGATTGTATTTTTAAATATAAGACATAGCATAGTGGAATTGATGAAAAGAATTTGAAACTAGTTAATTAGCATCTTATAAATCATTTTTAATTGAAGCCAATAGTAAGTACAATAGAATAGCCTAATAATCCTTTATAGAAAATACGTAATCGTTCTAAAACAAAATTTTAATCATTATTGCATTCTTAAATTAGTTAGGAGGTTGAGTCAGTTTAAAATTCATACTAATATACAGAATTACTTAGTGAGAAGGAAAAGGAGATAAATTATTATAAGAATCATATCTAATAACTTACAGAGGAATTGTAAAAATTAACTGAATTGTTTGAAACAGTTAGAAATGAAAATTAATCTCTTAAAAATTAAGTTGATCAAAGTTAAAATTATCAATTAATAATATCTAATCAATAGAAATAGATTTTAAAATTATAACAAGACAATGTTGAACTTGAAATGATTTTGAAAAACACATTATTATAATAAGAAAGATAGAAATTTTAATCCTAATCTTCAAAATAATCAGTAATTATAAAGAAAAATTCACAAAATGGATAAAAATTAAAATTATTTAACTTAAGTTTAAGTGAATAAATAAATAATTCAAACATGAGCACAAGTTTTATATCTTGTCCAGATAATTATAATTAAAAATAAAAAAGCCCCAGAATTAATGAAAGAGTAAAAACAAATCAAACAGTTCCTACTCTTCCTGATTCTAAAATCTACTCAAATGATTAATATAATATACATAGATTAGGAAAGGAAAATATCAAGATGAGATATTGAAGATAAATAATTTTATTTTTGTTTTTATAAATTAGAATTCATATTGCCAAATTATTAGTTCTATTTGAATAGAGTTCATAAAGTTTTTAAATTTCTAACCCATTTGAGGTTTTTAATATAATTTTATCATTTTGAATTTGTTTTGTTTAAAATTCAAAATAAAAAGGAAATGGTGAAAGATTAATAATATCACTTAATAAGATTTCCAGTTTCTTTTCCATTATATTGATAATTATAAACCTATCAAACTTAACACCTAAAGTAGATTATGTTTCAAGTTAACATTAATATTATCTAAATAAATAATTATAAAAACTTTTAAAGTATTTCTTTGATTGAATTAGAAATTTCAATATTAAAATAGTGCAGTCCATAAAATTCATTTTTTTGTACGGATTCCATAAAATGCAATTCTGAAATATATTAAAATTGTTATTCTTCGTTTTTTATTCCTTATAAGTTTTTATATTGTAATTTAATAATTTTTTCAATTTCTTTTTTTACATTTCCAATGTTAATATAAATTTAATATGTCCAAATTTATTCCTATTCTGATTTAAGAATTTTTTCTGGAATTAACTATTTAACTAAATCAAAAGGCAAAGTATTTTTTTTAAAAATCTAAAAATATAAATTAACTTTACATTTTTGAAATATTCGTATTGCTTAATAATTAGATAATATATAAAATAAATACAATATTCTTACAAGGTAAGCTTATATTTCATATTTTTAATATCATCAAATGCTTGATGAATTAATAATTTAAGTCTTACTGGATCTGATTAATATTCTTTTTTTTCCTATTTTAAATTTAAATATAAATATTTTTTGAATAATAATTTTGAATCATCTTTATGTTTTTCTTTGAATAAAAAAGAAATCTTTGATATAACACCTTCATTGTTAGATTTATTTTTTTTATTTTTTGGTATGCAATCATTATTATCAAGAATTCTAATTTCTTATTCATTAATAAAATAAAGTTTAAAATCTTCATAATTTTTTAGTTTAATAGTCTCAGCTGCCATCTAAATTAGATCATTAACTCTTAATTCAGGACTAATAGGTAAAATGATATTAAAATCATTAAGAAAAATAATCTAAGAATAAAAAAAGTATTAAACCTTAATTGTAATAGTTTGATCCTAACCTATTAAACTTTTGAGAGGTTCAGTTGATCTGATAGAAATTGAGTTTTTTAGAGATTTTAAGGTAGCATTAAAGGAGAATCTTCCTGTATTAAATTAAGAAGATCCAAATTTATTTCTTGAAGAATTTCTATCTTGACGAATTGGACTAGAAGTAAGAGTCTAATATAATGAAGGAGGAAGTTCTAAATATTTTAATACAAATTCTGGATTTTCTTTAACATAAGGAGAATTAAGAACAGCCACAAGGAAATTTTCAATAATAATTTTTCTAGCTTCAATAAGTTATGTTTTCTTATTGTTTTCCCATTAATTTTTACTTAAATGTGGAATAGAGATTTCTGGATATTCTTCTCTTAGAATATTCTCTAACTTAATTAAATTACTATATCTTGTCAACAAAGTAAACTTCTAAGTTCCAGCAATAATCTATTTTCAATTCTATATATACAATCATCACATAAACTGTATATGATTTCAATAGAGATTTTCTTTATTCTGTACCCTTGGCATTTACTTCAATTGGTTTGTTTTCTTAAAGTTAAACTGTTTCAGTATTTAAATCATATTTCATCTTAATTTCATTAATTAAAGATTTAAATAAAATTAATAATTTTTATTTTTATTCTGCATCTTAACATATAAATGTTATGGATTATTCTTAAGAGGATATTGTAAATAAAAATTTACAATATTAAGTCTCAGGTATATTTTTACAATAAGAATTCTCATTAAGGTAAAGATATTCATACAATTTTTCATGTTGTTTATTTAAAGCATTTTAAATTCTCTAAGTAAGAATTATCATATCATTGCATATATAAACAATAACTGATTTCTATTAATTGGATACAAGAATATTAATTGTTTCACTTTAAACATATCTTCTTGTTGATATAACAATTGAAACATTAATAGAATCAAAATATAATTATTGCAATTCAAATAACATTTAATTTTTTAGAACACTAAAATATATTTTTTAAATTACTTATCCATCAAAATATCAATCTTAGAATTTACTTCAATAAATTTATTTAGACTTATTTATAATTATTTATAATCTGGATGAGATTCCCATGTATGTTTAATTAAATCTTTAATTAATAGAACATACTTTGGTAATCTCTAAACCGGTTTAATTAAATAAGATTCTAAATTCCCTCCTTTAAATATATCTGTTTATTCCAACTCTTTAAGGAAATTATCTAATTATTAAATTTCTTTTCTTTTTTTAGATACAATCTCTATAGTAAAACCAGATGAGTATTCAAAGTAAATTTTAAAAAATAAAACATACTTATCAAAGATCTTGCCAAAACATGTATGTTAGTTAAAATTACTAAATCTTTCTAATTTAATAGATTAACAAAAATACCTGAAATTTCAATTAAAAATTACTTATTTAGTAAATATATTTGTTTCAAGTTTCGGAATAATAATTTTGAATCAGTTTCTTACAACAATATTTATAATGGATCATATACTTTCACAATGATTAGTTCTAAATTACTTAGATATGTAAATTCGCTTTCAACTAATTCTTGAATAACACATTTTCTATATCTAGACCACTTCTTTCTTTTTTAGTACTTTATCTTACATTAATACATCCTATAATAAGATTAAATCGTAATGATTTGTTTTCTTAAAATTAGATCAATATTACATAGAAGCATTATTTTATTTTACAAACTCATTTATATTATGATCTTTAAACAATATCTAGGATACTAACTAAAAATCTTATTCTAATTTTTATTATTCTTATCCTTATAAAAAGAAGTTATTATTCATTTTAAATATGTCAGTATTGCTTATTTAATCAGAGTTATAAACATTATTATTCTCAACAGTGAAACTCATTTGATGTTACTATATGGTATTAATTAATTATAATAGTTTATTTATTATAAATACATCAATATAATTTAATTTAAGGAAGTTTTTAAGAATCTGATTTATGATTCAATAATTTTTAGAATTCCACAGATTTAGTTCTATCTCTTGATTAATTACTTTGCTCATCAGGTTGCTCTATAATTAATTGTCGATTCAAATAATTTTTGTCTGGATTATTGAGTTCCATAAAATTTAGCAATCTTACATCATTAAGACTGATTGTTCTATTAATTTTAATGGAAGATGCTTTTGATGTGGGTGAAACAATAGGCAAGAATCTGACACATAAATTGATGACTTTACTATTAAAAAGGCTTTTTCAGGGATCCATTAATAATTGTAGGCAAAGTACTTGTTTGTTTTATTTTTTATTATATAAGATTTTCTTTGAATCTCATTTTATCTTCTAATTATTTAATAAGATTAGGAGCATAGATGTGACAATAATCATCAATCTTATACAATTAATTATTTACTTCAAAAACAAAAGCTGTAGTTTTCTTAAAATATTAAGTCTTTGCTGTATATTTATATAATCTAGGAATAGATGTTGATAAAGCTTCTTCACCAAAACTATCATTTTCATACGCAATTGTTACTCTTTAGAATTTACCATCTTCATTTTCAGCATAAATCTTGAAATATTTCTTATATAAAAATACTTCAACTTCTCCAGAGATAATAAAATAAACTTTATTGGCTTATTAATTGGCTGTATAAATTTTAACATTATTCTAAAAATATTCTTTTTTCAATTTCTTTATAAATGGAATAAATTCAATTGGTTTAACATTTGGAAATTATATTCTAAAATATTCCACTTCTTCCTTATATTTAGCAAAATGGAATCCATAAACTGATATCTAAGAATATAATTATTAATACCTCATGGATTGAAATAAAACTTAATGATATGGCTGTGCAATCTGTTAGAGCCATAATTTTATATTTTGAATAAGCAACTTTCTTATAAATCTCTGCTTAAAAAAGATGATCTGGTGGTTATATTTTTGTTATAATTTTTTGTTTCTTCTAATCATTTTTGATCAAAGATAAAGTTCCTTCAAGTAGTATAATTACACTTTCAATGGAATCAGCTTTTATATAAATAGACAATATACTTTAATGTTTATACACCTATCCTTTTTTAAGATAGAGAAGTTAGATATACTTAAATGCATTTTGAGTAAATGAATCTGTTTTAAAGACTTATTTATAAAAGTTAAAGAAGGGAAGACGATTGAGTTGTTGTTCATATTATGAAGCAAATTTAGGATTGTTTAGATTTTTCAGAATTGTAATAATCGTCTCGTATTTATTTATTTCTGTCATGAAAATTAATATACATCCTGAAAAGAAATTAAAAAGAATATTAAAATATTCTAACTTTTCAAAAATGCTAAATAAATGATCAAACAAGTAGACTTTGAATCATTAATCTTAATTCATAACATAAAAGACATTCATATGAAAAGAATTTAATAAACCTATATAATTATAATCTGAATCGTAAACCTAAGTATCCACAAATATTGACTTAAATTTCTCATTCTCTAAATAATTGATTTAGAACTCTTTCATATGATATTTCAAAACAATCATTTTTTGATGTGAAATACAAATAATGTAGTTTAGAAAGCAAACAAATAACTAGAAAATATATTTAAAAGAAGAAGAAGCTTTTATTATTGTTGTTATAGTAAATCACAATAAAATTATGTATAAAAATGCTATATTGATGGTATATGCAAATCAATAAAAAAAATAAACAGTTTATTGAAGAAGAAATTCTCTTTTGTAATTTAAAATTCTATTTTATATTACTTAAGAAACTTTAAAAAAAGATGAATCTTTATAAATCTTGTTTTTATTTTAATTATATTAATTTTTAGAAAACATTGTAATTCATGTGATAAAAATATACCTAATGAATAAATCCTGTAAGCAAAAATTTTAATCAATAACTTCTTTTTGGAAAAAACACTGATTCTAAAACTTAATTTAGACATTATTTTATATTTAAGAGAAAATAGGCTATTAATAAAAAACTTATTCTAATTCCTATTAATAATCTCAAAACAGTTTAAGAAATATAATAAAATAACAATTAAATCAATTCAACTCAACCAATTAATAAAAATAAATCAATAAAACTTTTGTTCCTATGAATATATCTATATTCCTTTAAAATACTCCTACGTCTTTATTAATTAATCTATAAATTATTAATTAAAATAGATTAACTCAAATAATCTAAAGCTCGCTTTTCAATCTTACCAATCTATATTGTAATATCTTTTAATTAGACTATTAATTGGAGATAAGAAATAGATAGATTAAAAATTATTGATACTTTGTTTTATTTAAATAAACCAAAAAAATTAAATTTTTTAATTATCAATATTTAAAATCTGTTTATGATAAGAATTCTTATTGTTTTTAAGTCAAATCATTTTAACAAAGTCTATAAATATATTTTAAAGCTATTTCTGAATTGACAATCTCTTAATCAATTTAAATTTAAACTAAAATTTGAATTAAATCATTAAGCATCCTAAAATTTAATAATTCCATTCTCTTAATTGTATAGAAAATACAACTATAAGCAATGGTACTTTAATAAAATATTGTTGTGTCATAATGTTATGAAACAAATCTTAATAAATTTAAAGTACATTTATAAATAGCTGATAATTTCATTTTCATCAATGAATTATCAATAATATTTGAGTTAATTTGTTTATAATAACGAAACTCTAAATCTCTCATTATGTAATCAAAATTTTAAAAATAGTTGGGCATTTCTATTTAATGTTATATAGTTTATAAGATTTAAAATTAGCATTTTGCAAGTTAATCTTCAGTTATTTTTTCGCCACTTAATTTAACAAGTTATTTAGAAGTCAAACAGTATATATCTTTCTATTTAGATGCCAAACTCAAACAACTAATTCCAGCACTTAAAAGTTCTGAATTGCTCAGACTATATGGATATTGTTGGAGAAACTTATCAAAAATAGATATGGCTAAAAAATAGGTTTCATTTGATGTATTATCATAAGAACTCAAAACATAACCCATCCAACATAAAAGACTATTTCTTTTAAGCTCACATATAGAATGTTGTCTCAAGGATTCTTAAGTCTATAAGATTTAAGATTTATTTACATTGATATGATCTAATTTGAGAGGATATTAAAAATGAAGATGATAGTTTTAGAACCATTACATTTATTCATAGTAAGAGTATTAAAATGGATTGGAATCATTTTAATTCATTATTTCCTATTCATAATCATCCAAGCAGATCCATTCGAATTTAAAATTTTGTATATCCATATAATTCAATTAGGGTTTTTTCTTAGGAGTAGTCTTTTGATCAGAAATCAAAGATTTAGTCTTGAGATTATGAAAAGACTTTTCTAAATTGGTTATATCAGAGAATTACATTTTAATTAATTTAAATTATAAAATGACTTCATAATTATAATTTTCCTTTCTTCTTTCCATTTATTAATTCATAGATTTCATCATTATAGTAGATTTCTAATAATTATTTAATAGATTTCTTTTTTCTTGTTTAAACATTTAGATCAGCTCCATTTTATAAAAATAACTTAAATAATTATGGATCTTTTTATTTGATTGCCAGATGAATAGGATAATAACCTTTATGATTTGGAGTGTTAAGAATGTCTTAAGAGATTTCTTTTTATTTAAATAAAGATTATAATTCACCAATATCCCCCTCATCAATCAATTAAAAAAAATACTTTTAAAAGTCACTTAATTTAGATTCCTTATATCTTTCTCTTAATTCTTAGAGTGTTAATTCAGAATCATGCAATCTTTAATTAACAACTTATTTAATTTATTATGTATCTCTTTAATTAGTTTGACTTGGTTGTCTTTTTAATGCAGGAAAGTAAACAAATTATTAAGATTGCTTCTATTTTTAATTATTCCTTTGAAGATCTTGAATTGAAGGATCTACTAAATATGTACCATTAAACACTTTGCAAGTATTCAATTTTGATTTAAGAACTATTTTACTAATTTTAATAGAGTTAATTCTTTACAGATGCTCTTCTAATTGATTGAGTTCTTGATCTTCATGAGAATAATCTGGTTTCTTGAAATAGAGAGGGAATCCATTAGATTTAACTTTTGATCGAAACTAAAAAGTATAATATTTAAGAAATACTTTTGATAATATTTTACCGGCCTCACCTTCAAGTTTTTAGTTTCTAGTACTTAGAGATTAGTGCAATAAATTAAGTTCTTCATTCTTCAATTAACTTACATTTAATAAATTCATTGAAACTATTCGTTAATCTATATTCCCACTTTTCAAATATTCTTGTAAAGCTCTTTTGTGAATTTAATACATTAGGTTCTCTCCAACATGTAATTTATTCTTTATTACAGGAAGTGAAGATGATTAATATAAATTACTCATTAATTTTTATCTTAATATTTTTAATGATACATTTTTTATCATTTGCTTGGTACTAAACCTAAAAGGGATTTATAGTTTGTCAATTAATGAGGTAGTTCTGCAAGCAATTCTCTTTATAAAATGGGCAAACTATGAGAATAAGGAGCAAATGGGACAAATTGGACAACATTTCTAGTCAAGACTTCTTTTTGTAATTACTTCTAATCTTAATCTAAGAATTCAAGTTTTTTGAAATCAAAATCTCCTACTCCAACTAAAATAATAGATAATGAAACATTTGCACCTATTTTAAATATTTAAAAAAATACATTTAGCAATAATCTCTGTTGTTTAATGTAAATCGTGTATTTATCCACAAGTCAAAATTAAGAGAACAGTATAAATCTTCTTTTTAGAATTGAATTCTGCTATTTACTTAGCATAATTCAAAATTTCACCTAAACAAGCAGGCCCAGAAAATTATAAATTAGGAAGTGTTTATTTATATAGATTGACTAATCCTTCTAAACCAAAAACTTCTGGTTTTTTAAAATCACCAGTCAAAGGGAAACTTTTAATTATCAAAAGAAATACCATTATTCGGTTTCATTAACATTATAATTAGGTAAGTGGGGAACTGCACCAAATCCATACATAGCTACTTTTTTATCATAATCATAATTTAATAGGATTTATGCACATGCTTTAATGGCTGTTTCATATTGATTTCCATTTTAAGTTTTAAAAGCATGTAATGAATCTGGAAAATTTGGATTGCCATTTTAAGCTGTGTAATCTACTCCAATAATTAAATTTATCTATTCTCCATCCTTTAAAAAGTCCATAAAGGTAGGTCTTTTTATTACTTTTTTCTCTTTAAGAATTATCTTGCCTCCAGACTTATTTGCTTAAAATTCTAAATTGAATTCTGTTTTATTATCATTAATAATGTCATGAATTGAAGTTTCAAAATAACCCATGTATTAATTGTTGGTACCTTTTTCATGAACATCCCAACATTCTACTTTAAATTTCTATCCTAATTATCCTCCACATAATCTTCTAAAAGAAATTTAAAATGGTTTCCATTCAGGATTTAAATTATCTTTAATCATTTCTGTCTTATGAACAGGTAACCAATCTTCACCTACCTTTTTATAGAACTTAAGAAATGGATCACTTTTACCAAAGAAACCATCTGTACTATTATAATAATATTTATCTTCTTACTTCATCAAATCTTTTCCTATCCAACTCAATTATAAAAATTGATTATCTTCTGGCTATTTATCAATATTTACAACCAAAGTACCAACTGTTTTTCCTTTCTAATTTTTTAAATCCAATTCACACTTCATGTCTTTTGCTCCTACAATATCTGCTACTGTTGTCTCAACTTATCCCATCAATTAATCTTAAGATCCAGCAGATTAATTCTTATCCCATACCTAAAACACCAACTTTTGATTCAATTCAAATATATAATCTATTATAAAGCTCTTGTCCCAAGTAGGACTTAAGTTATTCTTTATAAACTCTGTGTCTCCTTCGCTTTTTTCCTTCTCACCTTATACTGTATGTAAAAGCCTACAAAATGGATCACTTTTTGAGAAAGTATCCATGTCTTTCAGATTCTTGGCTTTTACGAAGATCTCTAATTTATACCTCTCTTCTGGAATGTTTTTATTTTAATCCATCAATTATTTTATATAATTATCAAATCAATTAACAATGAACATTATCACAAACTTATCTAATTCTATAATATCAGATCCTTTTTTCTATCTTAACAAACTCTATCATACTATTCAACAACTTGATATCATAATCATAATAGATACTGTACTATTTTATTCATTTCACTCCATTATTCTTAATTACAAAACCAATACGTTAAGCAATTTTTATAAATTACTATAATGTGTCAAAATAAATTGTCAATATATAAATTTTTTCGAAATCAATTATTAACAAATAGAATTAGAATATACATACATATTATTACATATAATATCTTTAAATATTTTTCATTTATCAATTGAATTCCATGATTAAAAGTGAAACTCTTTTGGTAATCTAAGGAGAGGCTTTGAAAAATTAGTTTTAATTATTTATTTTTAATTACTACATTTTGCCATTTTAGCAAATTAAGATTTATTTTTATTATCTTGATCTTCCTCTTATAATTTTCCAAAACTCCAATTTTAATCATTTTGAATCACTTTAGTTTAGTTATTTTTATAAAACAAAGGGACTTAAAATTCATTTAGTTAAGGAGTAGTTATAATCGGAAATCGAGTAGATGGAGAACAAAAATCAGCAGATTTAGGAGGATATTTTGAAGCTATTTTAATATTTTGTTTTGGTGGTGAATTTTTATTCAAATTTTTAGTAACAGGATGTTCCTTTCTTTAACTTTCTTCAATTAAAGTATTTTTTTTTAATACATGATAATGAGTCATTTAAACCTATTACTTTGGGGAAAGCAAACGAGGACTTTAGATGAGAGTACCATTTGTATTGGAATTCTTTAACATTGCACTCTATTCTCTGCTAGTATCAGGAATTTCTTTCTTAAATTTATTTCTATAATACCTTTTTTGCTAATTTATTTGAATTCATATATTTAGTAAAAGGGTATTCTATAGCAGTTGATTCATATTGGCTATCCCAAGAATTCAAATCTTCACGAATTTCTTCCTTAATTAAACTACTCTTTAAAGAATCTGTTGGAAACTATGTATTTAATTTCTTTGTTAAAGTTGACTAAGTGATTTTTGCTTTCGTCTTCATTATAAAATATAAAAAATAATTAAATAATTACTAAAATATATTCAATCCATTTTAATTCTCTTTTTTGAATTATAATAATTTACTGATCCAAATAATAGGAAAAACATTTAAAATGTACTAATAAATGAGATTTAATAATATTATCTATAAAAATTTGTGTATAATGCTAAGTAAAAAGTTATAAATAATATAAATAATCATAATTGAATAGATTTATAACTGTTTTATGAATGAAAGTGAACATAAACATAATTAGACATTTGAATAGATTCATTTTTACTAATCAATTTAATTACAATAATTCTATTTCTTAAATTCCTTCACTTTCAGATTCAGTTGATGATTTATTGCTTTCATCTTGAACGAATTTTTGTGATCTAAATTTGGTGGAAGTAATCTCTTAACTATTTATAAAATTTTGTGAAATTCTCATATCAAATAATAGCCCATAGAGAGAAAATAAGTTAATTAATTTCATTATACCAAAATGACTCCTGAGATTTAAAAAAAAAAAATTGTGATTAAAAGTTCTGGAAATAGTCTTTGATTAATTAGGTACTCTTAAATTATCCCATGAATTAGAATATCATGTAAGAATAACAAATCTAAAAATATTGATTACTTATTTTACTTACAATGACAGTATCTAATTTAATTGTGATATCTAATTTAGTTACATAGTGTATCTTGTTATTAGAATTTAATATATCAATTCCTTTATCTAAGATTGGAGAAAAACTTTGGTTTCTTCAATGAAATATATTTTTGACAAATTTTTAATCAAGAAACTTTCTGTTGTATTTAAGAATACTTCAAATAATGACTTAATCATAAAGTATAAAAGCAGTAAAAGTATTATTCAATAAAATGTTCAATTATTAATTAATATTCATCAATTTCATTAATAATCCATCTCTATTATGCTAATATTCATAGTGATTCTTCAGAATTATCACTATTTTTTTTATAAATACTTGAATGTATTAATTATAAACAATAACCAATACTACTTATTTGACTAATTAAATCAATAGGGATTATTCAATTCATCAGTCTTATTATTCCATTATTATAATCAATTCAAATTTTGTATGATTTTTTTATGAATACAAAAATAAATAACATTTTTTATACTTAAAATATGATATCTTTCACATTTTAAGAGAGGCCTAACTTTTTTTAATCTTAGTTTTAATAGTAAAATTTTACAGTTAACCATATTATTAATCAAAGGTAATTAAATTACTAAATCAATAATATAAAAATAAAACTATTCTTAGCTTAATAAAAATCCAAAATGAAGAAATAATTTTCCAATTGATACTAATATTAAATGATTCAACTTAGTTTGAAATATTTTATTAAAATAACAGATTTCTTTTATGAATGAAACTTATATAAATAAAAATTAATGTTATTACAGTTAAATGAATTTTTACATAAAAATTGATTAATAACATAAAAGATAATGAAATTGATGTTCTGATTAAGACTGTAAAAAATTTTAAAAAATAAAAGTTTAGAACTTGTTTTGAAATATTAATATAATGCAATAAAAATGAAAGATAATAAGAAAGAAAGAGAAAGGCAAATGGGATTTAAAACTTGAAGTTTGGAAAGTTTATAGAAGAATAAGATGAAAGTGAGAACATGTTAAGATAAATTGTTGAATAGGAATAAAGGCAGAAATTGAGATATTAATATTTTAGGAAAGCTCGAAAAATAATAAGAACTTTTAAGTTTGAATAATAAGGAATTGAGGAGTTATATAAAAATAATGATAAGAGACATAAGCAGAATATAAAAATGGTGATAATGGAAATTTCAATAAGAAAAAGATAGAGTAAAAAAGAAAGAGTTGTAATATTAGAATTTGATATATATATTATGAATGATTTGAACTTAATATATGTAAATAAAAAGGGTAGAAATGATTGAATGTAATAAGAAGGTTTGTAGAGTTATAATTAATGATGTTATTAAGAAATTTTAGAGTGGAAAAACAAAATTTAAAATCTTTTAAATATGGGTAAGAGAATTAGAGCATAGAGAAAAGGAAAGTCTAACAGCGTGTTCAAGGCACATCAAAACTAAAGGGTTGGTAGCCCATAATACAGACATCTTGATTATGCTGAGAGACATGGCTATGTAAGAGGTGTGATTTCAGAAATCATCCATGATCCAGGAAGAGGTGCTCCATTGGCTAAGGTGGAATTCAATGATCCATATAAATACAAGAAAGTCACTAAACTTTTTATTGCTCCAGAAGGATCGTACACAGGATAATATATTTATTGCGGAGCTAAAGGTAAAGATAATTAATTATATTACCTTAATAGCTCAATTAGCTACAGGAAATGTACTTCCTATTGGCTAAATTCCCGAGGGTACAGTTGTATGCAATCTGGAAGAACATCCAGGAGACAAGGGAGCTTTGGGAAGAGCTACTGGTTGTTATGCTACCATAATTGGTCATTCAGATGATGGAACAACTACTAGAGTTAGATTACCATCAGGAACTAGAAAAACTCTTAGTGCTCTTTGTAGAGCTACAGTTGGTATTTGAATATTCAATAAATTAGGATTGATTGCTGGTGGAGGTAGAACTGAAAAGCCTATTCTTAAGGCAGGAAGATAATTCCATAAATACAGAAGACTTAGAAAATGCTGGCCAAAAGTTAGAGGTGTAGCTATGAATCCAGTCGATCATCCTCATGGTGGTGGTAATTAACAACATATTGGTCATCCATCTACACTCTCTAGATATGCCCCACCTGGATAAAAGGTTGGTTTAGTTGCTGCCAGAAGATCAGGTCTTCTTAGAGGTGGTGCTTAACTTAAACAAATGGACGAAGATTTAGCAGCTTAATAAGCAAAAAAATGAGATTTATTATCTATTATCGTACAATAAAAATTTAGCATCTATTATCTAACATTCGAATTTTCATTTAATCAATATATTATTATTATTATTAAACTGATCACTTATACATTTATATGTTATCTAACTAAAATTATAATTCAACAATCTTTAATCTCCTCTCCATATTTATTTAAGAATTATTCATTTTCTTTTAATATATTCTCGTATATTTCTTTAGGAATCTTTTTCAACAAATTGTTAACATTATTATTAGGTTTTAACTAATCTCGAATTTTATCAATTTCATTCAATTCTTTCTAATAACTATATACTTCTCTTTTTTATTCCTAACTCAAGTATATCAATATATTTCCATTTTTTATAGAATCAGCCATCACTTCTTGCTCTGTTTATATTACCACTTCTGTATCATTATATTTAAACCATTTCTTTAAATAGAAATTGTATTAATATAAATAATAATGACCATGTAATATACTACCTGTATGAACAACTATTTAAGCTAATTAATAAAGATTCTTAGAAGTGTTTTGCAACTCCTAATTCAAAAACTCATAATTTAATGGAAATTGTTTATTCAATTCTTCAACTTTCTTTTAGTACTCAAACTTCAAATTTCTTAAAATAAACGCATCAAACATAGGTAATGATTCATAATAAATCAAAACTTTCTCAAATGCTTCAGTTTGCTTATTTACTTTTATAATCATATCAATTATATACATTATTAATACACTTCCAATGTCTTTAATTGCTCTTTTATGTATTTTTCAACCTTTTGAGAAGCCTATATATCACCTAAAATAAAATCTAAATGTAAATTATTTGGAAAATAAAATTTCTCTTCAGTTTTTTCTATTTTTCTATTATTTTTTTGAATATTTCTTTCCAAAGAAAATACTAGATTTTCTGGTAACTCTTTTATTTTACGTTGGTTTTCTATGATCTCTTTATTCAAAAAATTATATATCTAATAATTTTTTATACCCATTTCCCATAGAAATTAATGCTATTCCTCTGACTTTATAATATATTGCTTCTCTAATTATTCATTTTAAAATATTGTCAATTTATTATGTTACTTTATGAACTGCTTATTGAGAGATAAATCTATAAGCTCCATCAACACAGCAAAATATTCGCTTACATCCATAAAATCATTATTCTATTGAATAATATTTTTAACTTTTTTCTCTAAATTTTTTGCAGCATCATTAAATTATGACGGTTTAAAGTATTTCTAATTCGACATTATTTAATTTGAGAATACTACCTAAAGTTCAATAATAAATTTTTTGCTGATTTAAAGTATTTCCCCAGATTAACTTGACTCTGGTATTTTATATTACAAAATTTATTCCACTAATTTAGGATTGTAGAAGAGAAGCTATATTAGGCAATTAAGATAGCAAGTATTACCCAGGTTTTACATCCCTACTGGATAATCATCATATTTCTTTCTTTTTGATGCTGGCTGAGTATCTTATTAATATTGTGATGCTTTTAATGCTTATTCATATTATTCATTCTCATCCAATTCCCATTAATTATAATTCTAAACTTAAAAATCCTACATGATAATTTTTAAATACATTCTATAGCAAGGAATTTTGAGATACCTTTAAATTTTATTTATCGAGACATAAATCCGCATAAGCTTTTTCCATTAAAGAACGATTCCATTAACACTAAGGTCCTATTTCTTCAGCTTATTCTTTTGTCCATCCTTTTTGTTAAACAAGATACTCGGTTATTTCTTTAAATTTTTGATTCATAGTTTCCAATTAATTGAATTATTTATTAATATTAAATTTTTTGAATGAATATACATAATAAAAAAATCGAATATTCCACACAGTTTGCTTAATGTGATCAATTTTATCTTAAGATCTGTCTGTTTTTCACATCAAGTAAATTATCACCTAATATCATAAAATTTTATCATTTTTTTTATACATAAAATAAAAATTCAGAGAAATTTTATCAGAATTTTTTCAAAGAAAGTTGAATAATGAAATGAATTAAAATAAAAAAAATTCTCACTTAATTTCTATTTTTTTTTTATTTATAGATTATGAAATTAAAATAATATATTTCTTAGATATGTGATTTGGATGAGTTTAATTTTAATTAATTAATTAAAAATGAAGAATGCAACATATAAGAACAGTAAAAGAGGAAAGTGCTTTTGAAATTCCAAAAATTTAGTGTCATTTATTATTAGGAGGAGCATTAAAAAGAGTTTTACAGATTCTTGTTTTAGAAAAATCGCTAAATTCTATTTATTGGATATGCACTAATTATATTGAGATGCAAAATAAAGAGTTGCTAACTATAAAAATAATTAAAAATAAATCTTGAATATTTAAAGAGAAGGATTTGTTGTTGAAAATTTTTTCATTATGACTACTTATTTGCCACATACAATAAATATGCATGTTATTCAAGAGTATTTTTCTGATAGAATTCCAGAAAACACCTATGTTTTGGCTTATAATTCAAACTAAAATTATAACTTTCAAACCATAAATAATTTATATTATATTTCAAATTCGAATTTACTACTTAAAAATAAAATTCTTTGGTAATATAAAATTTATCTAGGAAAAAGATTCTCTATCATTAAGTCATATTGATATCCTTAAAATGAGCCTAAATAAAAATAGCCAAATGATAATATCTTAAAACAATGTAATTCTAATAAATAAAGGGTTTTTAAACATGAATAAAATTTTTTTTTCAAAAAAATATTTTGAAGATTGTTATTTGTTAATAAAAAATCTTCAAAAATCTGCATCATTAGCTAAAGAACTCAATATTCAGTATCTTTATTTTTAAAGAATAAAACAAATACAAATTCAACCAAAACACAAATATTGATTCTTACTTGCTGCACTTGATCTAATGGTCTTTTGTTTTTTGAATTCAATTTAAATTTTCATTCTACAATACATAAATTATAAAATATTAATTCTGTGAAAACAATTGAATTTTGATGAATTATTGCAAAATGACTCTGATCTTAGTTTGTATCTAATTAGAGGCAATTCAGTTTTAATCTTGATGTTTAAAAAGGATTTTCAAAAAATAAAAAAAATTGGGATGTATTTGAATTGAATTTAAAATATAATATGAAAAATAATAATATTGTTATATTTTATGGCTAAATCAATTTCATAATGATGTTGTTCCATAGATAATCTTAGCTTAGATAAGATCTGCTTTTTGTTTTGCAAATGCAAGATCCTTCATGAAATATGTAGAATTAGTTTTTTTATTGATGAGTTCATAAAATGTTTTATCAAATTTGTTTTTAAACAAATGAGTTTATTTGAAAGCTCTTCCTTTTTTAATGAAATAGAACAATGCAACTGTTTCCATAACTTAAGCAAGTAAATAGGAGATTGGTTCTGAGACTCCCCAATCATAAATCCCATAAGTCAAATAAAGTAAAAAGAAATACTAAATTAAAGCAAAAACAATGAGTTATTTCAATAATTTATGACCTTGCTATAATATTGATTTAAATGAATTACTCTAGTAGCTTCTTCAGTTACTTCTGCTACAATTTTTTCATAATAAACTATAACTTAATCCAAATTCTGTAATACAGTTTACTACAATTACCAGAATTAAGAAGTTGTTGCATTCTCTTCAGCATATTTGGCCAAAGCTTTTTGAATTGCATTTTCAATCTCAATTGGACTATGGGATTGTTTGTTAGGGTTAAGATTTTAAACCATTAGTTCATGAAATCTAGCAATGACTAAGGCATCGAAATAAGGAATTTCTAGTTGTGAAAATGCTGTTTCTAATTCGGAATTCATATAATATGGTGCACATCCATTTAAATCTAATTCATATGAGAAATTAACGTCATCAATATTAATAGAAGGAGTGTTATGCAAAACTAAATCTACAAAAGGTAATTATTATTCAGTGATATCCTTATCTCCCATAGTAATTTTAACATTTTAGAAATCTTGCTCTTCTTATTTGATTAATTGCACAATATCATTTGTAGTGGCATAATGAGGAATCTTAAAGATTTTTGCAAATCCTTTTGGATAATGCAACTTAAGATTAGAAAGTCGATAGAGATGACTTATTTTATTTAACATATTTATATTATATTTAAACATAGTTCTTGAGGGTTATAAGAAATCTAATAATTAATCTGAAGACTAAAAATCCAGTTAAAGCAACAATTATTTGAGCTAATATATATTCTTTTCACATATTGAAAGAGCTAAATGATATTTTGAATAGTTAAAAATAATATTGATTTGTGATATATTTTTTTATTTTAGAATAAAATGAACGATTTCATAATTGGTGATAATCTGGTATTGGTTTAGATAAATTTTAGGAATTAGAATCATTTTTCAAATAGAATACAAATGCTTTGCATGAATAGAATTCAACATTAAGAAAAGCAGCAATCACATAGATATATTAAAAAGTTACAGATGCTAATATTTCTTAATCAGATTGTAAAAATTAAATGAATAACTTTAGCATTGACATAATAAATACTTTTAAAATATGGTAAAGTACTTTTAAAAGCTTTTTCAGATTCAAATGAAAAAGTTCGAGAGATGTCAATAAAATCAATGATTGAGTAAGAATAGAATAATAAATTTAGATTGATTACTAATTCAGAGGACAATGAACCAATTTTGAGTTATGTGTTTTCAGTATTGATAGAAAGAAGCAATTGTTAGGATTTAGAGGGAATAATGCATCTTCCTGAAGTAATGAGACCTCCTCCATCTTAATTACCAACAAGATTGATGAAATTTGTGGAAGAATCAGAAGAAGTAAATATAAAATAGTTAAGTAAAGATTCGTTTACTGTTAATATAATTCCTATATTCTATAATGTGTAAAAATGATAGCGACAACTTACATGAATATATAGATGATATAGTGGATATTCATAGGGCATTCTTAATGGATCCTTTTGGAGAAGTTTAGAAGGAGGCATGCAAAAGTTTGAGTAAATTTTGTAAGGTTAATCATCAAATGCTTTTACATTTTACAGAGAAGATGG